TAGACTGCCACCTAAGACACACAAACGTGAATCACTACTTAATTTTTATCTTTTATTTTTATGTATTTATTAGGTTTTTTTTTTGAGACAGGATCTACCTGTAGCCCCAGCTGGTCTGGAACCCACAGAGATCTGTCTGCCTCTGCCACTGGAGTGCTGGGATTAAAGGTGGGTGCCACCATACTATGCCCCATTACTAAAGTTTTAGATGCATACAAACTAAAATGGATGTGTTTGGTTTTTTAAAATATTTTATTATTTTCACTTTATGTGTATGAGTGCATTGCCTGCAAGTATGTGAGTGCACCTGTGTTGTGAAATGCCACGGAGGTCAGAAGAAGACTTCAGATTCCCTTGGAACTGGAGTTAAGGACATTTCGTGGGTGCTGGGAATCGAACCCGGATCCTCTGCAAGAGCAGTCAGTGTTCTTAACCACTGAGCCAGCTCTCCAGCCCCACAAGCCCAGGTTCAATTTATGTATACAAGTGTATTGCCTGCATGTATGTGAGTGCACCTGTGTTGTGAAATGCCACGGAGGTCAGAAGAAGACTTCAGATTCCCTTGGAACTGGAGTTAAGGACATTTCGTGGGTGCTGGGAATCGAACCCGGATCCTCTGCAAGAGCAGTCAGTGTTCTTAACCACTGAGCCAGCTCTCCAGCCCCACAAGCCCAGGTTCAATGAGAGAAAAGCAGAGGAAAGCCTGGTGGTCCATAAATAAAGGTTCCCATGCAGGTGACAGGAGATGGGGCCTGGTTTGAGGACTGGCCTCCTCTATCACAGTTGCTTGTCTTTCCCCTGGAACATCATTCTTTCTCATTTGGTTTCTTACTGAATGCTTCCTAATTGTGTGCTGCCTGACCAAATCCCAAAGGCTTCCCTGAACACACCAGGTATCTATGGGCACCAGCAAGATAACAAAGCCTCCACCTGCAGGTCAGATCCCACAACAGTTGAAGGATGGGAATCATGGATCATCAGCAGAGGTCTGGGTAATGGGCCAGGCAAGAAGACTGCCAAACAGATCACCCTCCCATGGGCAGAAACCCAGTTCTTGCTGAGACGGAGTCTCCAAGCATTAACAGGTCATGAAATCTGATTATGGCTGGAGGCCAATGGTTAAGGAGGCCAGGAGTGCTTCCAGAAAGGTTCTTTCACCACCTACACTGTCTTAATTTAAAACTCAACTCACAAGCTTCCGGTGGCACTGCCTCCAACGATCCCAGGCAGCTGCGCTTTCTTCTCCCCCAGCATTTAGTTCACTGTATAAGAGCAGCTGGTAGGGTACCTGCATGCTCTCTGTTTGATCGGCTCTCTATGTGAACATGTAATCCTTCTAGTAGGAACTCAGACCTGTTGTCTTTGTCTCCTCTGATTCTAGCACCGTGCAGGCACCTACTCAGGAACTTAATGTCTGAATGAATGAGTGGTATCATTTGCATGTCTTCATTTCATAAGACTGTCTCCTGCATGAATTCAGAAGGAAACTGGCTACTGCTTTCCCCTTTCACTTTGGCCATTGGTTCATTTAGGTTTTCTAAGTTTTTTCCAATATTAAAATGCAGACACAAAAAACTAATGTTTAGTGACAATGTTATTATAAGACAACCCCCCCTTTTTTTAAAGGAATAAGAGATAGTTTATTTTGGAGCCAAATATGAATGACCATGGCCCTGGGGTACAGGTTCAGGTTGCCCCAAATACAACGTTCCAAGGTGGTAACATTTTCATGAGGTTGTTATAGCAACAGAAGAAAGACGATTATAAAACAAGACATCTTCCAAATACATTAGTAGAAACATCAGATCGGTGGTCTAGAGCAAAGCCCAGAAATCTCTGCTAGAGGACTCAGATGTTATCTGGTGACACTTAACAGCTTTTGGGTTGGTAGAAACTAGGGCTCAGTCTGTTTCATTCTAAAAACTACTAGTCATAGCAGACAAACACCCTTTTAATCACATTCCAGCAAAAAAAAAAAAAAAAGTTATGAAACTTCCTTGTTAAACCCCCAACTCTATTACCCAAAGTAACTATTCCCAGCCAGGACTTTAATTACATAATGTGCTTCATTTAAGCATATAATGTTTCCTTATACATGAGTTTTATCATCTAATCTGTACCTGTAGACTCTAGAGTTTGGTCTTTCCCACTTAAAAGGTTTGCCAGGTTTACCTGACATGTGCAAGATTCTGGGTTTATCTCCAGCACCATGAAAGCAAAACTTGTGCCTTTTAAGTCTCTTCTAACTTGAAGATTCTTTCTCTGTCCCTGCTGTTTCCCTACTCTGTTAATGAGCTCTGTGATTGTTCTGGTGTCAAGTTTGCTGATTTCATATATGGTGTCCTTTGACATTGCTATGTGTAAACCTGAAATGTCCCCCACAGGCACATGCATTCAAGGCTTGGTCCCAAATTATCCCTGTAACACAACTGGGAGGCAGTGGAACCTTTAAGAGGTCCTAGTCTGAAGACATTAGGTCACACATTAGGGGTGTCTCCTCGATAGGGCTATTGAGATCCTGGCCCCTTTCGTTAGATAGCTAGTTGCATAGTAGGAGGTTGGAGGACTTGAGGCTGGACCCTCCCTCAAAGTCAATAGCCTGGGGTGTGTGTGTGTGTGTGTGTGTGTGTGTGTGTGTGTGTGTGTGTGTGGTGTGTGGTGTGTTTAAAGAACTGAAACAGTGGGACTTTAATTACTGAGATAATGTCTATGGCCTTGGAGGATACCTGCCATCCTGAACTACCCAAAAGGCCATTAAAAGATAACTCTCTAAACCTGACTGCAGGAGTCTTAAACCTTTTAAGTTAACTGCCAGAGGTTTTCATATAAAGAACAAAGACATTCTGTTGCTCCTTTCTGTAAGGGACAGTCCTAACAGGCCGGTCACCTGCACCGGTCAAAGTCCCTCAGAAAACTTGCTTGTTCTAGAGATTTTAGGAAATAATATAAAGCCTGCTGAGAACGTAGATTAGAATAGTGGTCTCCTGGTCACTGTCTGATCCACCTCCTTGGAGTATTCTATACTCATCTATACTACATTCTGCATGTGTCTGAACTGTTTTCAACGAATATCACAGGGGAAGACATCTAGACTGAGATCCAAGTGCATCTCTCTGATCTCCTTTCTCTTTTCCTTTTCTCTTCTCTCTCTCCCTCTCTCTCTCCTCTCTCTGTGTCTCTGTCTCTCTATCTCTCCTCTCTGTGTCTCTGTCTCCCTCTGTGTGTGTCCGTGCGCACGCCTCTGCCTCTGGAGTGCTAGAATGAAAGGCCTGTGCCACCACACCCAGCTTTGACATTCTGATTTCTAAACACTTTCCTCCCGTCTTCCACCCAAATCACTTACACCTTCACCTTTTTCTACACCCACCTCTACTTAGTCTTTTCCAAGAGAAGGTCCTCTATTTACTATGTATTTATGTTTCATGACCATTTAACATATGTAAAACTGTGCTATTATTTTTTTAACATTCCTATCTTGCATTCTGCTGGCCTCCTTTTGGGTCTTTTTCTCTGCTTCTTCCTCTAACAATGTTGATTATCGCCATGATGTCTATGCAGTTGTGAAGCCATTTGATTCTGTTTTTTAGTTTTTCTTTTTTGTTGTTGAATTAAAAATGGAAATATGTCTTTTGGGGAATAAAAAAGTGAATGAAGATTAAAGATTTCCATCTTTTTGTGTGTGTATGTGGTGTGTGCCATTTGTATGTGTATTTATATGTTTTTGTGCCTATGTGTACACATGTATGCAGGTATGCATGCCTGTGTATGTGTTCACAGAAGGCAGAGGAGGATGCTGGGTGTCCTGCTCATCTTACTCCTTTGAGACAGGGTCTCTTATTGAATCTGGAGCTAGGCTGGTGGCCAGCAAGCCCGTCTCCGCCCACCTACAGTGCGGGGGGGTTACAGGCATGTGTAACGAAGCCTGGCTTTTTATGTGGGTGCAGGAATGCAAACAGAGGTCCTAATGCTTGTGTACCAAGTGCTCTTTCCCACTAAGCCATCTCTTCAGTGCTGTGGAAAATTTCATACCAATGTCTCCCCTTACCTACAAGTTGATATAATTATATAAGAAAAGCTGAATAAATGTTTGATTTTGTCAATTTTCAAATAATGAATTCTTTCCCTCTCATTCCTCCAAAGGCAACCAATCAGGCCTTATCTTATAGTATAATATCATCATGAATTCATGCATTTAAAATATTTGTTGAATTCCAATCAATTGCAGTTACTATTACTTTTTGAGCTCAAACCACTCCTTCTTTGACCAGTGGTAGCCTCTTCAAATGGGCTCCTGTAGCCTTTTGCCATGATGCTAGTAATTTTTAGTATCATGCTGGAATCTGGTAGACCATTTGTAAAGCAATGTTTACAAAGCTGTCTGGACTGGATCAAGGTTTTGCTTGTTTTTTTCAGTTTTGTTTTGTTCATCTGGTTGTTTCAAATTTTATTATATTTATTTGTGTGTGTATGTGTATGTGTGTATATGTGTGTGGGTGCACAATGGCATGTGTGTGGGTGGAGGTCAGAGGGCAACTTTCAGGAGTCAGTTCCTTCCTTGCACAATGTGGGTCCCAGGGACAGGCCTGTTTTGTTTTTGAGACAGGGTCTCATATGTTGCAGTCTAGCCTCCAACTTGTTACATAGCCAAGGAAAACCTTGAACTCCTAGTCCTCTTGTCTCTACCTCCCCAGTCCTAGGATTATAGGCATGAACCACCACACCCAGGGCTTCATGCATGCTAGGTAAGCCCTCTACCAACTGAATTACATCCCTAGCCCCACTTTTATTTTTTTAGAAAGCCACTTAGTGTTTAATTGAATAAGGATAAATCCCTACTTTAAAAAATCTGCAGTTTGAAGGGCATTACCATCCTTTTAAACTTCTATTTCTAGTAAATATATTATCACCAACACTATCTTATTTGAATCTGTGAAATATCCAATCCTCTTACATTTGAATAATCAGCTAACATATGACTGACAAACTTTAAAGTGACATACCTTCAAATGTTGGCCCATAAATAGACTCTCCATCATCTCCTTTTCCTTCTGCTATATCTGAGAAATAACAAACAGAATTCTGAGGCTAAAAAATTAGAACGCAGCAGTGACAAAGAAACGAAGATGCTTTAAATCATGATCCTACTTACACCAAAGTCTAGTGTAAGTTGTCTAATTGCTTAATATCTATGCCATAAAAATACTACTGTGATGACTTCACTTTTATTCTGTAATCATTTTTATTTTCATAATTTCATTTTGTTCTTCTAATAACTCTTGGGGGTAGCTTACATTATAATGTAAAAGCCTTGGAAATAACAATATATTAAATAATCACTGTGGTCACAATTTGAAGAAAATGTTCACATAAATTCTGCTGACTTCACAGGTTATTTCATCATTTACCTGGCTTTCCAGAGAAATGGAAAGATTAACTGAGAGGACAAAATGAGAAATTTTCACATCACCTCCTCCTTGTATCCAACCATTCTGTACTACTCGATGAAAAATTGAATCTTTGTAATGGAGCCTTATGCCTCGTTCAGAAAATCCTGCTGCTCCTGTGCACAAGACCTGAAAATTTTTACATGTTTTGGGACATGCATCACAATAGAGCTACAAAATAAAGATGAAAGGTTTCAATGATTAAATACTTAACATTTTATCAATTATAGATTCCTCAAAACTTATTTTAAAAATACAGCAAAATCTTCTTACCTCAAAAATCAATCTTCCAATTAGAGAAAGATCAATACAAATGTCCAAGAACACAAAATCATGCTATTAAAATTAAGGAAGAAAAAAAAATAACATAGGTCAATGTTTTGTAAGGAAGCTTTCAAAAATAAAAGAGGTGCATTCTTTTCAGTGATAGGATTTTAACCACAATGCCGATAGATAACTTGACAGCAAAATTAATTACTTCAAGTTTTAAATTTTATTTTGCCAAGTCTTTGCAGCCTAATTACACACTAGTTTAAAAAATCTTTCAGTGGAAAAACTTAGAAAAATTTTGACTCACTGTGGAAGACTGAAGGTACGTGACCTAGAAATTCTCAACATGGGGAACTGAGTGTGGGAAGGAAGTGGGTGCAGTCTCCCGGGGGAAAGAAACAGACTGGGGATTCTTCTCTACCCTTTTCTTTCCCGAGTAGCTTTGAGGAAAGAGCCATCATGAGTGTCATGGAGTTCATTATTGTGTATTCTGGATTTTCAGACAGTGGAGACTAACCAGACCCAAGCCACAGGTCTTCTGAGTGAGAAAATAAGACCACTGTTTCCGCAGGTGCTTCGGCACCATGGGTGGGGAAGAGAAGTGGGTTTTGCTTTGCGGATATCGTCAGTGATACCCTCAAGTGTAACAGCACTGGCCTGTCTCCACCTGTTGTCTTGTCAGGTAGAGATGACTGGCCGGGAGGCCTTGCCTAACTCTACGAAAAGGCATCCAAAGCTTCGTGTGGAAGTGCAGCTCTATAATCCCAGCATTCAGGAAGCTGAGGCAGGAGGATTGCTTCAGTCCAAGGCCAGACTGGTCTATAATAGTGCATTTCAGGCTAGCATGGACTCCTGAGTCTCTAAAACAAAACAAAATAAAAAAAATTCAACTCAACAACAACAACAACAACAAAGGCATCCAAAATGAGAACAGCAATCTTCATTACCTCTGCTCTTAGAGGCCACAGCACTGTTAGGGTGTGGATGTGTTTCAGATCTTGGATACCATCCTCATAAATCAGAATGCCAATTTATTTAATGTGATGCATAACTCGCCCTGCTAAGAATCTGAGAAACATATATGCTACCACTTTTAATGTATCATGTTATTTCATGTCACTCTAATCTTTTTCATTTTTATTTGTAATTTATTTAAATCTAGCAAAGAAGTATTGTAGCCAAAGTAATTATAATTAAAATTTTCTGGGGAATTGAGACAGAATCTCACTGTATGATCTAGATTGGTCTAGAACTCACAATGTAGCCCAGGCTGACCTCATACTCATGGAAATCCTGCTGTCTTAGCTAGGATTATAAGACAAGCCACCAAGCCCAGCTAATTATAATTAATTTGTTTGAGCTGTTCAACTTCTATACCACAAGCTCTTAACTATAAGAAAATGCATAATTAAAACATAAATATAATAAACCTCAGAGGCTCAGGAGGAAAAAGAGGCTATGTTGGAAATCACAGTAGATTGGGGGAATAAGTCTATTTAGGCGTAATTAAATTTCCTTCTGCATCCATTGATTATCTTTACCAAGCTATTGGGAGGACAGAATTCTGGCTGAACATGGTAGAACACTGTAATCTCAGCACTGGGAGGTAAGGAGATCTCCAGTTTGAGGCCAGTCTGGGCTACACAGAGAGATACCTTAAAAACAGTAACCCAAAAAAGATAATTCTGAAAATGCTGATGAAGAAAGATAGATGAATGTAATATAAAGTAACATCCCAGGCACCAGTATATCATTTGAATCTGGAAATAAACAAGACCTGGATATGACTCACCACTAGAAATCTACCCTTTGCAAAAAATCTTTTTGGTTCAGAATGGACAGTAAGTCATCATCTGGCCTCAGCTTTTCTTTAGGATCTGTTTTCTCTCCTACTTAACATCTGACCATCATTACTATCTGGACAACATCCCACTGGGTTCCCCAGCTTGGCTAGAATGTGCAGTGGCCAGATTCTCCCTCCTTCAACCCTGTGACAACCAGGGGATATGGTCTAGGCTTATAGGACAAGTGCTCCTGGGACCCAGGGGCTCAGGAAGTGTTGTAAAGATACAAGGAATGTTGGTAACTCACTATCCATGATGGTGGCCATGTGAACTCAGAGCTAGCAGCGCCTGGAGCAGCATCCAGGCCACACATTCCTGTGCAGTGGCTTTGATCTTTTTCCAGATATCTGGCCTCATTTGGTTCCCATCCTGTTTCTAAAGCCACTTTTCTAGCTTTCCTGTGAAACTAGTATCTTTTCAATAGACACCTTTTCTCTTAAGTGAATCACAGTAGCATCTTACTGTTGGCATCAAGAATTTTGACAGATATTCTCATATCCCTAACCTTATCCTACTAATTCTGTTCTCCTTGTTGTCCTGGACACTCCCTGGATACACCAGGTACTTCCAGACTCCAGTATTTTCCAAAATGCAATGTTTATTCAACCAAATACTCACTGGATACCTACTTTGCTTTATTCTAGTTCAAGGCAATGGTTACATGAGGGTCCCTGAGACAAAGTCTTTACCTTTGCACAGCACAAATCCTAGCCCTGGGTCATTCTGCGTACACAGGCCACCATGGGCAGCAGTTGATAACTACTGCTTCAACAGAGTTTCCAAACAAAATTTCAAAGTGCTTTTTACCTCATATTGCTATCTTACCCTGTTTCTCTCTCCTTCTCTCTCTCTCTCTCTCTCTCTCTCTCTCTCTCTCTCTCTGCCTTATGCTTCTTACTAATCTTTGCCACTGTCAACTGCCTCAACCTGTTGAAGCCTGTTGCCAATTCCGTCATGCTTCAAAATGTCATTCTGCATTATTCAGGAGCTGATCATTAATATCCATTCTCCTCAGGCTTTTCATCTCAGGACAGCAGCTCTCACTTAGGTGTTAGAAAGTAATTAAAACATTTCATACTACAGGGGCTGGAGATATGGCTCAGCAGTTATGAGCGCTTGCTGCTCTTCCAGAGGACTTGAGTTTGGTCCCTAGCATCCCATGTCAGGTAGCTCACAACTGTCTGTAACTCCATCTCCAGCGGATCTCTCCTGGCCTCTGAGTGCATACACACACACTTACATAAAAATAAAGAAAACTTAAAAACCCTATAGAATGCTATAGAATGAACAACGGGCTTTATCAGTTCTGTTTTGGAGACAGGTCTTGCTATATTGTCCAGCCTGGCCTTGGAATCATGGGTTCAAACAATCTTCCTGCCTCAGCCTCCCAAAAAGCTGAGGTTATACGTGCATGTCAAAGGGCTGTTTATATTCTAAAATGAATAATTCATGCACAGAAATCTCTAAAAGAGAAGTAGAAGCATTTAGACAAGGACGTTTCCTCTGCACAGCCTGCTTTGAGATAACTTTGTTTTACACACCACCCAGCTAAACCTTGAATCTATAATCCCTTGTAACTTAATAAGGTCCCTGGGGGGTTACACTCTAATCTTTTACCCTGTGTATCGCTATTGTGAGTATATCAAAAACTGATGCTGAAGCAATATAAATACTGAAAAATTCTACTGTTTTTCTTTAACAGTAACTGTAACTTGCCTTGGTGTCCTTTAAGAACTTTGTGGCATAATCCAAAGTGAGTGCCTCATAGAGTGCAGAGGGCCGAACATCGACGATATCCCACACATTTTGGGCCCATTTCTTCAGATCAAATGCATTACCCAGGAGTCGATTGTTAATAAAACACATCACATAGGATGAATATACCCAGGTTTCATCCTTCAGTTCCTACAGAAAAGGGAGGGGGAAAGAGTAATGAAGGAAAAGAAAATAACTAGTAAATCCATAAGCCAGCCTTGAGATTAAGGGTAGGGCTGAATTTGCCAACTCTAGGATTTACTCTTTTAAAATTATGTTTTTAAACATCTCTCAGAATTTTGCTGTCAAAAAGAATTTAGCATTTTTGAGACTCTAACTTAGCTTAGAGCACAGAATAACTTAAAAAGCAATCTTTAAAACATAGAAGATAGGTGGAAACCTGGTAATAAGAATAATTATGTGGGGGCTGGAGAGATGGCTCAGTGGTTAAAAGCACTGGCTGCTCTTGTAGAAGACCTGGGTTCGATTCTCAGCACCCACATGGCGGCTAACAACTGTCTATAACTCCAGTTCCAGGGGATCTGATGCCCTCTTCTGACATCTGAAGGCACTGCACGACATGGATGCACTTATATCCACACAGGCAATACACTTATACACATAAAAATACAATAAATTTTTAAAAATTAAAAATCATTATATGTATAATATTCTTGTTACATTAACTTGCAAATAAAATGTAGTCTCTGATTTCACACTTTATTGTGGGACCTGAAGACAAAGGGACCAGACATGAGACAATGTTTTTTCTGGATGGAAGGAGATTACCTTTAGGAAATATCTCTTGAGGGCCCGTAGGAATTTCTAGCACAGTGTCGGGGAAATGAGGAAGAAAACTCACCTTCCCTAATACTCTAAGTCTTAAAGTCCCTTACAAAATATTCACCTATGCAATGCTGATGGTCAGCTTCCTAAGTCCCCAGCATGGCCACTGAGCAACATCAGCCCCTGAGGAGATCTGGCCTGCTATTACCCAGTGCCAGCCCTGGCAAACCATGAATAATGAGGTATAGCCATTTGCAAGCCTTAGCGGTCACCGAGAATTCTAGATTCCTGAGCCCATCTGATTTTCCAACTGAAGGATGGGGCCTGACAGAGAATTTATCTTTCTAACACATCTGGGGAAATACTGGCTCTGTAACCAGAATACTAGAGTTTGGGCTGCCTGTTACCAAAAACACCAATAAGCAGGGACAAGAATTGAATCTTTAAACTGTGCTTTTTTCAGACAACAAGCAACCTGGGAAGATAGATTAACATCCCCAAGCCTGTCTTCCCTTGTCATCTCCAGCTGCACTTTTTATAGGGAACTGGAACAAAGGCATTTATTCCCAAATTCAGTCTCGTCCCTCTGGTTGGTGGTCAGCCTCACCTCTGAGATTCATGGTGTTGGCGCTTCTCTCCTTACCCCCTCCTACACTTTCCCTCATTACTTTCTGTTTCTCTCTGTGCAGTGACTTTACACACTTCCAAGACACCATCTAGGTTAAAAGTGGACCCCACAAGCAAACCGTTAGCAGTGTATATGTGCTGAGCTCCTTCCACTGTGTATGTGCAAAGTCCATCAACATGAAGTACAAAAGTGCCCTTATAATATAGAATATGAAGTGCCCCATCTGTCCCTCCTGTCCCCTTATCAGTGCTGCTGGTCTAAAGACTACATTGGAGAAATGCTAGTTTGAACAACAGGATGCCTTCGACTAACCCACTTGCTCTATTACCAGCTCCTCTGAGGAGATGTAATATCCCACTGTTTGCTTCCTGTGCCTTTCTCAAAACCTGCTTCCAGGCAGAGAAAACTTGTTCATGGCAAATCACTGATAAAGTCTATGTGTCAACAATTCTGGGAGTGTTCAGATTTATCACTGTTATATTTTGCAAGACTCAAAACCTATAATAGGAAGGGAAAAATCTGGTCAGCGGGATGGGAGGCAGGTTTTACTTAGAGACTAAAGATGTAAACATTTCATCTCTGTCTCCGCTGTACATCAGATGATTTCCTGGCTTGTCTCAAAATAGCAGCCTGGACCTCATGTTTTCTAGGGTTTTCCATCACTCACTCACTCCTAAGGTGCTGCCCTTTTCTGGCAGGATGAAACAGGCCTTCCCATGGACTCTGAAGCCATACCCTTAGGGAGGCATTACATTCTGCTGAAGTGTAAGGCCAGCTAGACCAAATGAGTGGATTTACCAGTATCAAATGTGCTAGGAGGCTCTGTATATAATACAAGGCTTGCATTGAAGGACCAAAGAAAGAAAAAAAAACTGATCTGAAAAGAAAGAAAAAAATTAAGGTGACAAATATCCAGAGTATGAGGACAGGCGCAGGACACAACAGTGATGGACTAGCAAGCCTCACGCAGGACCAGTAAGAAGGCAAGAGGGAAAGCATACAAGGTTCTCCAGGTATCCCAGGCTGGAAAGACAGGTAAGGCAGGAGGATGTTGGGGATGTGCAAGAGGAGTACAAACCACAGACCATAGGACTCTGGTCTGCGGCACAGAACATGAAACTTGTGGGCAACAGCATAAGCTTGATGAAAAACATTTTTAAAGTTTATTTTATATCAGGGTGACCAAAAGTCCCACTTGGTTTACAGCTGCTTTAGTTTTAACACTGAAATTCCTACATCTCAGTCAAATCAAGATCACTGATTGCCTGAATATCTATTACAATAATGTTCACTATATCATAAGTACCATATGTTAAGTGTTTACTAAAATTCCACTGAAAATGAAACATGACATTTCACAAATGGCACTTTTGGCCCAATCTTTCATGGTTCATGTGACTGAGCATAGTATGACTTATCTCAGAAAGCAACACTATTTATGGTAACCCCTGGACCATAAAGCACCCTTATACGACCAAGCCCCGAACAGTTGAACCTACTCTGAAAAAGGAAATAATTTCACCGCCCATTAGGGAATGGGGTAAGGCAGGGAACTCAGGCCTGGGATCCTCCATAGGACTAGACCAGGGATGACAAGCAGGAGATGCATCTAATTCCATTCTCCCGATAGGACATGTGGCTGAGTCAAGATGCCACCTTACCATCCTTCTCAACCCAGGCTCCAGGGAGCATTACCAGGAGATCAAGTGGCACCTCAGAGGAAACTTATCTACCATCTCTGAGCAAGCTCCACTAGTTCAAGGGGCAGCATAGAGAACCAAACTTCAACCAGAACAAGCTGCCTCATGGGAGGTTGGTCACTGTCATTAGAACTCCTTTAGGCAACAGCTCCACACAAAGCCCTCCTGTCTCTGATAGCACCCACACTTTCCAGATTGAGGGCCAGGCTACAGTAATTTGAGTGCTAGGGTGTCACAGGAAGTGTAAGTGATGTGTAGGGCAAGAAGCATAACCAACAGCAGGGTTAGCTGAGAGTTTAAAACTTACCTTTCTCAAATGCTACCTAAAGTAATATTCTAGAAATATTTTAGTGTTTAAGAAAATAAGTCTGGTAAAATGATTAAAACAATTTAGGGATAGTGAATAATTTAGAGAAATAAATTATAGCTAGAGTTTTTCATTTTTTCCAAAACCAGTGCACAAATAATTCAAACAGAAGCATACTTCTTGTCAATATCTCCATAGACTAAATATCCCTTACCCTTTTTTTCTCCTGTAGATACTGATCCCAAGCAAATTCTTGAAGAGGAACTATTACAGGATCTTCAAATCTGGATGGATAAGAGTTTTTCAGAGTCTAGGTTTCAAAACAGAATAGTTTAAGTTCTCATTTGATTACTTGTACGTGTGTGTGTGTGTGTGTGTGTGTGTGTGTGTGTGTGTGTGTGTATGTGGTGGGTGTGGTGTGTGTGTGTATGTGGGCACACTAGCCTCTGTGTGCATGTGGAGACCAGAAATCTTCCGCTATCACTTTCCACTTTATTTTTTGAGACAGGGTTTCTCACTGAACTTGGAGTTCTCTGGATCAGCTAGACTGGCTGGCCAATCAGCCCCTGGGATCTGTCTATCTCTTCCTACCTGGAGTAGGGTTACAGATACATTTCACTCAGCCTGACTTTTATGTGAGTGCTAGGGATCTGAACTCAGGTCCTCACACTTGTACAGCAAACTTTTTACCCACTGAGTTATCTCCTCAGCACCTAAGATCTCTTCTAAAATAAAAATAGCTTTCCTCAAATTTTATGGGCTTTCTAGGCAGTTTTGTGCAGCACACAAAGGCCACACAGCCGCCCAGGCCTGTTCCCAGAGGCCCCTCCAAGTTACTCCCAGCTTTGGCCAATTTGTCTTTCACATCTAGAGAATAAGATCCAGAAGGCAAGGCTATGCCTTCATCTTCCTATATTCTCACCATATCTGGCATACAGTAAACTTCATATACACAACAACTCAATAAACAAATGAGCAATGGTTTTATGATCTGCTCTTTTAGGACTAGTTTTTTCCTAAATTAAACTGCTAAACCTCAGTAGATCTATAAGTGCTTGACTTGTAGCAAAAATTGTCAATATTATTGCTTTAGTTTATTGATGCAAAGAGAAGGACCAAAAGGATACTGTTGTGGTTATGCCATTCATGAAAAGAAGCAAATACTAAGTAAGTTTAGGTTTAGAAGTGAGGTGTTGTATTGAGTATGCTTTGACTGAACATCTGTTTGTGGTGTGTGTGAATGAGAAAAAATAATTTAAAGATTTATTTCTTCTTTAATTATGTGTATATATGTGGGTTTGCTCACATGAGTGCAGGTGACCAAGGAGGCCAAGAGAGGGTGTCAGATCCCCTGGGGCTGGAGTTCAGGTGGTTATGAGCTGCCTCAAGTGGGTACTGGGAACCAATTCTGGTTCAGTTCACACTCTTAACCATTGAGCTATCTCTCCAGCCCTTTGAGAACATTCATGTCATGTCATGTGAAAATTATATGTAAGTCTAAACTCAGCATCCATAATAAAGTCTTATTGGGATACTACTATTCATTTACATGCTTGTGGCTGCTGTTTTGTTTTGTTTTGTTTTGTTTTGGAGACAGTGTTTCACTTACATTACCCAGGTTGGCCATCAACTATCCTCCTGCCTCAGCCTGGATTTGCTGCTTTTACAACATAAGGACAAAATCATTGTGCCTGAGACTGTGTGTCCCAGAAGACCTAACACATTTACTATTTTGACTTCACAGAAAAAAAAATCTTGCTAATATGTTCCCTGTAATGTACACCAAGCACAGGAAACGTTCCTTAAGAGAAGCAAAGGAAAATAAAAAGGAATCCCTTAAACTCATGAAATATAACTGTAGTCATAAAACACTGATTTGGGGCTGGAGAGATGGCTCGGTGGTTAAAAGCACTGGCTGCTCTTGCAGAGGGCCCGGCACCCACATGATAGCTAACAACTGTCTGCAACTCTAGTTCCAGGGAATCTGATGCCCTCTTCTGATGTGCTTGGGCACTGGATGACATGAGTGCACTTGCATACATGCAGGCAATATACTCATACACATATAATTAAAATAATATTAAATATTAAAAAAATATTTTTTAAAAACCACTGGTTCAAAACAACAGCAACAAAAAATGAAAAAAAGAGCAACCCAACGTAAATAACAACAAAACTCTTCACCCCCGACCATGCACATACACCAAACAGCACTTTTACTCCGGAAGCTGGAGCATGAAAAAGGCATTTCTGAAGGTGAATACTGCTTGGCTTTGTTGTCCAGCTAGGTAGCCGCGTGGGGGCTGGTGAAGCTTTGGAGAGACGCTACCTCCAAACACTGCTGCGCTGTGCCTTTTCCGTTTCACAATACTATGCTTCTGCTTTCAGCAGGAGGGCTGCAGCATGACTGACGTAGACTTTGGTTTGTTCAAGTGTTTTTAGATCGTTCTGCACGTTTACAAAGATATATTTGGATTCTTCAGAGCACTTGTGGGCCATCTCTTAAGAAATCTCTTAAGTATTTGATTCTGTTGGAGTGCAGAAATCCGCTACAGAAATTATAAAGAACCTTTCAGAACGAAATGATAAATCACTTGAAGAAATTGGTTTAAAAAAAAAAACAGTTATGCGCTAACACTTTTCCCTAATCTTGAATTTTGTAACTATACGATTCGATTAAAAAATTAACGTGGACTAGCATGCCAATCCGTGGGACTGGAAATTACCAATCTCCCTGTAAGTTTTGAAGGCTTCCTTGGCGCAGATCTCCCTTTCCTAGGACCTGCTTTGGTCCCCTACACACCCCTGGAGCGAGCGAGCCCCTCGGGCTCACCCAGCCTTTGGGTGGCACACAGACACCGCTGGGGGCGGGCGTCTAGGCTGGCACCGAGGCTGGCAGGTCGCCGCACTTTGCAGTTTGTCTGCGGTTACCTCGGCGATGGTCTTCGACATCTGAAAGCTGGAGCTTTTGAAGAGCCCCACCACCTTCACCTGCAGCGGCGGCTCCGGCGGCAAGCGCGTGCTACACAGCGGAGGCTTGGGCCGGCAGGGCGGCTTGCCTGCCATGACCAGTCTCAGCGCCTGCCCCGCGCGCAAACATTGCTGTCGCCACGGCAACCGAGAGGCCCCTCCCCCAACGCAAACGGGGAGCAGGGCCTGGGCGGGGCGAAGGGCGTGCGAGGAGGGCGGGGCGCCTCGCTGTGCGCCTGTTGCCAGCCCAGCCCCGCGAGGGGTGAGCTCCGGGTAGGCTGTCCGGCGGCGGCGGCCGCGGTCTGCACCCACTGAGGGCAAAGCGGCCGGGAGGGAGCCGTCCGCCCGGGCTTGGCCTCGGGATCGCCGGGGGCCTCGCGCCGCTCTCGTCGGCCGTGGGCGGCGGGGTTTCGCAGCCTATCTCCTTTCCGGGTTGGCGGGCCGCCTGATCCGGGCCACCCGGCCTGTTGGCTGGGTTACCCGGGAGGCAGCCCGGACTTGCGTGGGCCTGGGGAACGCGGGGGCAGGACGCTCCACCTGTACAAGCCGTCGGAGCCCAGTCGCGGCCGTCGCTCCCGAAGCACGGCAGCCATGAAGCCCAACTTCTCCTTGCGACTGAGGGTCTTCAACCTCAACTGCTGGTGAGTGGCGGCGGGCGGCGGCCCGGGAGCCACCTTCCTGTTCGCACAGCCGGAGGAAGCGGGCAGGCCTTCCTTAGCCAGGCACTACCCTGTCCTCGATCCGCTCGAGCCCTCTTTGTCCAGAGCTCCGGTGGTGGCTGCAGGCCCCTCCCCAAGCCTGGCCCTGCCCTGTTTTAGGGACATCCCCTACCTGAGCAAGCATAGGGCGGACCGCATGGAGCGTTTGGGAGACTTTCTGAACTTGGAGAGCTTCGACCTGGCTCTACTGGAGGAGGTGAGGTGCGGCGGCACCAGCTCCCAGGCTAGGCTGGGAGGAGGGCACCAGAGGGCGCAGGACGAGTCTTCTCTCCCTTCGCTAAGGTGTGGAGTGAACAGGATTTCCAGTATCTGAGACAGAAGCTGTCGCTCACCTACCCAGATGCACACTACTTCAGAAGGTGGGAAGTCCACAGGCCCAGGCCTGTTCTCAGGCCAAGAAGCCAAGAGGCCCTTCCCTGTCCTTGCCTGCACTCTCTATCCTAATCCTCCGTGCAAGGGCTGTTGCCTTGAGCTTTGTCCTGAGGCTGATCTCAGCAGTAGTGAGAGAAAGTTGCTGACCCCAGCTGGGAGACGCAGGAGGGAAAAAGGGCTGGGTATTCCCCGCTTGCTTTTCTAGCTATTAAGCAGGGCTTGGCTTTCAGCGGAATCATTGGCAGTGGCCTCTGTGTCTTCTCCAAACACCCAATCCAGGAAATTATGCAGCATGTCTACACTCTGAATGGCTACCCTTACATGGTAAGCTTCCCTCTCCCACTTTTGCTAAACACAAGCAGTCCTCCTTGGGGCCTTGACAGAAGGAGGGTGGCAGTGCCCTGAGTTTCTGTCTCCTCTTGCCTGCAGGTCTGTCATGGAGACTGGTTCTGTGGGAAGGCTGTGGGGCTGCTGGTGCTCCATCTCAGTGGACTGGTGCTCAATGCCTATGTTACCCATGTGAGTGAAGCCAGCTAGGCTTAGGGGTTGGCACAGGTAGCCCAGGGCTGTGGTAGAGAGATTCCTCTAGCTATGCTGCCTGGGGATGAGGCATGGAGTCAAAAGGTGGCATGGGGCAAATTTCACCCATTCTGTGCCAAACTACATGCCAAGTGACAGAGGCAAGTCTGATATAGACAAATCTTGGAACCCTTGATCTTACCTCCTATAATTTCATGTCTCACTTAGCTCCATGCTGAGTACAGTCGACAGAAGGACATCTACCTAGCACACCGTGTGGCCCAAGCTTGGGAACTGGCCCAGTTCATCCAGTGTGTGAGCCTGGGCTTGACAGGGGAAGTGGGATGGGGCACAGGGTTTAGGGGCAGCTGGGGCTTCACTTAGAGAGCAGAGGTAGTGAGGGAAGAATTTCTTCCTCATCACTCTGGCCCTTCCAGCCACACATCCAAGAATGCAGATGTGGTTCTCTTGTGTGGGGACCTCAACATGCATCCCAAAGATCTGGGATGCTGCCTGCTGAAGGAGTGGACAGGGCTGCGTGATGCCTACATTGAAACTCAGGACTTCAAGGTGAGACCCTTTCTTATTTCCCACCTGTACCCACACTTCTTTTATCTTCCTTCCTCTCATCATTCTATCCACTTGTTCCCCCAGGGCTCTGAAGACGGCTGTACCATGGTACCCAAGAACTGCTATGTCAGCCAGCAAGACCTGGGACCGTTTCCCTTTGGCATTCGCATTGACTATGTGCTTTACAAGGTTGGTTTCCTTCCCCCAGCATACCTTCACCCACTCTCTTCCTCTGTCACCAGCCTATGCTGATCTTTTGTTTAGCCCATCTAGTCTTGGACTACTGTAGGCTGGGGAGTGGGATACTAGGAGCAGGTTCTCTGGGAGGATATAAGTTTTTCTCTGCCCTTGCTTTTCCTAGGCAGTTTCTGGGTTCTGCATCTCCTGTAAGACTCTCAAAACCACTTCAGGCAGTGACCCCCACAGTGGCACCCCCTTCTCTGATCATGAGGCCCTCATGGCTACTCTGTATGTGAGGCACAGCCCGCCCCAGCAAGACCCCAGCCCTACCAATGGTGAGTCTCAACTCTCCAACTACCCCTTTCCACTTCAAAGCATTCCCAGCCTGTCCACTCTGACCCTCTCCTTCCTTGTTCTAGGACCACCGGAGAGATCATCATTGATCGGCGTGCTAAGGGAGGCCTGGACAGAGCTGGGGCTAGGCATAGCTCAGGCTCGCTGGTGGGCTGCATTTGCTGGCTATGTGATTGTTCTGGGGCTGTTTCTCCTCGTGTTGCTGTGTGTCCTGGCAGCAGGAGAAAGGGCCATGGAAGTAGCCATACTGCTCTGGACACCCAATATAGGGCTGGTGCTAGGGGCGGGCGCCATCTACCTCTTCCACATGCAGGAGGCCAAAGGCTTGTGTCAGGCCCAGGCTGAACTCCAACACGTGCTGGGAAGAGTAAGGGAAACCCAGAACCCACGCTTAGGGCCTCACTTAGCTCAACTTCTGGCATCAGGAGGGGAACAGAGCTAAAGAATAATAAAGTATGACACTCTAGTGGCTCTACCTTTTCCCTTGTAAAGGCAGTGATGGAGCCAAAGGTCAGTGGGCTCATCATTATGTGGCCCTTAGGGCACTGACACGTCATCTGCCCTCCTTGCACACCCCCATCTCCCACCTGAACATAGCATAAACCCTGTTTGTGGCAGAAATATTTTTATTACAGTGATGCCCTCTCGTAGGCAGTCCAGATGGGCAGGGTGGCACTGCCCTGGGATGATGTCTTATTTGCAGAGCAGGCAGGCATACAGCTACCCATTTTCTAGCTGTGGGCCCCCATCCCTGAAGCCAGCTCACTGAGCCTGCGCTCTTCTTGGAAGCGGATGAGGGCATCCCGCTGGTTCACCACATCTAGCAGTTTTCTTAGCACCTGATCCTCAGACTGACGATCGGCAGCTGTCTTCAGGATTTCTGAAGGGAGAAGGTGAGGCTTAGAGAACAGGGATGTGGCAGGGAGGCTGAAGAAGGTCAAGCTAACCCCAGCCTGTGTGGTTTCTATAACCCAGATCTTGTTACCTAGACTGCAAACTTAGGTTTTCCAAAAATGGTTATTTTCTAACCTTAGTTAACAACGCCAGTCATTTTTAAAGGAAAGACCACACAAAAGCCCAATTGTGCTGCTCTGGTTGAAGGGAGAGTGGAGGCTTAGGAGCCCCATTCTCTGGCTTCCTCTTGAATTGTCTCAGTGATGCATGGATTAGAGGAACCTGTTGCTTGCTCAGTATCCAAGGTCATGAGATAGTGTACAAACCTTCCTGGTTTATGTACCTTGAAACTCCTGAGCCAGCTGCCACTGCTTCTCTTCGAGGTCCAGCTCCTGCACCCTATGGAGGTAAGGGATTACAGAGGCATGGCTGTTGAGGGTGTCCACAGGCATGGGGCCTGGCCAGCAGAGCACATTACCACCCCCTTGACTTACGAAATCATCAGCTCAGCCTCTTCGGCCACAAGGCTATTTTTCTTCTGGACAAGCTGTAGCAGCTGTTCTAACCAGAGTTTCTTTTGCTGTTCTGGGGAGCCTGATAAGAAGGAAGAGGGTGGAGATGGTCACAAGGTCTATAGCCAAGAGTGACAGGATCCAGGGAAAAGAGAGTGGTGGGTGTCTGTGTGGCACAGCCATCAGGCCTGCTCTGGACCAGCCTGGTAGGTTGAAAGAGCTGAACAATGTGCCAGTAGCCAGAGGGCCATCCTAGCACATCAGTCCTCCATCTTGACTCACTGCTTTGGCTCCTCAAGGCCAGCTCGAGTTTCATGCCTTCGGCTTCCAGCTCCCTCATAGCAGCTTCAATCTCATTGAGTCTCCGCTGGATGGCCTGAGGGGATAAGTCAGGAGGGCTGTGAGTCCTTGGATTGCTCAAGAACAGTAATGGAGGAACTCTGATCTTAGACTCAAATCTGACTCAACCACGGCTCGGGCCTGGGTCTCACCTGGGCCTTGCAAAACCTCTTCATCTCCTCCTCTTTAGCACGGCACATCATATCTTGGTCACAGGTTGAGTACCTAATCATGGTGTCTGAGTTCTTAGTCAAGATCAGGGTCTGTGGAGGGGTTGGGCCAGTCAACAATAAGGTCTGGCCCAAGTCAGGAATGGAGAACACTGGAAGGGTGGAACAAAAACTGGGGTGGAAATAGGTAACTGTGGTAGACAAGGTGGAGGCTTAGAAGCATGGAAGTCAGGAAGTCAGACCAGATACCGCATTGCAAGAGGAAGGTGCTCCTGTGGTGTGGTAGAAAATGGAAAGTATCTGGCAGATGCCTGTTGGCTTAGGCAGAGTAGATAGCCAGGTTCCTCCCACTCACCTGCTCTAAATCTGCTTTCAAAAGTATCTCTGCCTCCTCTTCCTCACTGGAGGAGAGACTCTCTTCTGCCTTCTCCTTGGCCTCAGGAACTGAACAGAGAAAGAGGCATGGCTTGGGATCCTCATGACCTCAATTTTTATTCCCCAGAATCCTGTGAATCTTAGTGCTCCCACCCCACCAGCTTCCTGAGTCAGCATATCTGTGGGAGAGCACTTACCTTGCAGTGCCTGGAATGGCACACCCCAGCCCACAAAGCTGCCTTCCAGGGCCTCTCGAGCCAAGGCAGAGCAGCTACGAGGGGGCTTGGGCGGAGGCTCTATTTCTGAGTCAGGTGTGATATTCAAGGAGGATAGCCTCAGGCGTTCCAGGCTGGAGAGGCGGATCAGCTTACGGGTGGGCTGGATGGGACTTGGGACAGGACTGACCCTCTTTGCTGGTATAGGAGTTGAGGGGCCTGGTGGCATGTTATTGTCATCTGGTGTAGGGAGCTCCTGGAAAAGCCACCATTGTCAGGTCAGGGATCTGCCCAGTGTTGAGAGGGGAGGCCATTCAATGGAGCCATTGTGGGCTTTGACTCTTAGTTATTTAACCCCATCTAGTGGACATAGGTCTGCAGTGCACTGGATACAACTGTTGTGAACTTAGTATTCAGTGGAGGACACTTTTCACTTACTGCCAGCAACGTCCACTTAGCTAGAAAGACTTCTTTCCTCTTCCCATGCCCTAATACAGGTTTTTGCAGGGTTGGTTTGTTTGTTTTACCGGGCTCTCAGGGCTTCCATCGCTGTCAGCTTTATGGCTCTCCTGGGGTAGGTGCTGACGGCAATAGAAATGTCCTAGAAAGAGTAGAGGAGGTTGGGGCTGGAGAGATGGCACAGTGGTTGCGAGCACTGGCTATTCTTGAGGACCCTGGTTCAATTCCCAGCACCCACATGGTGACTAACAACCATCCCAACTCCAGTTCCAGGGAATCTGACACCCTCTCTGACCTCCGAAGGCAATGTATAATACAGGTGTGCTTACATACATGTAAGTATACATATAAAATAAAAATATTTTTTAAAACACTTAAGAGCAGAAGAGGTTAAATATCAGCCCAATGCCCAGACCCTCAGAGATTACCAGGGAAGGTGGAGGGGGCTACAAGACAGTGGGCTTGCAGGTGAATTTCTTAGAACCCCACACCTAAAGCTTTGGAGGGGATTGAGAGCTGGTTTCCATGTGTGTCCAATGTCTCTCTTCCTCCTCAGCCCAACCCAAGCTCCTTGTTCCCCAGAAAGGGTCAGGCCCAAAGTCCCTTTAGCATCTCCCAGGCCCACTTACCATCTCCTGGGTGTTGCCCATAGTCCCCTGGCCACAATGTGGCCTCACAAGTATGGCAGCAGAAGCAGCTCCGGTGGAAGAAATGGCCATCCACACAGAAGCGCTCCAGGATGTAGAGGTGTTTCCCACACAGTTCACACAGATCCTCAGCCCCGGCCTGCATAGATCCACAGGATACAAGATCAGTCAGACCCAAAGCCAGCTGCCAAGGTCTTCTATACCCATGAATCTTTCCCCTGTCCTTTCCAGACTTTTGCAGATAGGGTCCTGTATCTCACCTCCTGATGTTCAGATGGGGGTGTCCGGGGTACACTGGGCTCGGGGACAGGTAGCATCTCAGTCCTTGGAGACTCAGCGTCTACCTAAGGAAGCAGGGTGAGCAGTGGACTGGATGTGTACAGAAAGTGCTGGAATGGAAGGGAGACTAGGCAGGGAGACATCGAAGGCTATAGAGCCTGCAGTGGAGGGCAAGGCAAAAGGAAATAGGACAGCAGAAAATCGGTATCGGGGAAGGGACCATCCTGCCTGCATTTACCTGCAAGGGAAGCTTCTTGTCACCAACATCCTCCCTGTGTTCCTGCAACAAGTCCTTTAGTTGTGAACATGAAACTCAGTTCCAGCCCTTCCCCTCACCACCACTTACAATGTCTTCTCCATTACCCCTGGAACCTCACTGGGCACCCTTGTCCAGCCTTAACCTTACTCTTTAGATGCCCCACCTTGGCCCGGGTCTGTTGAAGGGTTCTCTGGAGTTTGCCAAGGAAAAGTACGGCACTGGAGGTCCCAGGAGGGGTCTGTCTGATGGAACCTGCAGGCAGAGTCCAGGTGACAGGGTAGGTGAGCATTTACATTTACACAGCTGCTCTCTACCCCAGGTAGGCCCTCAGAGGGTGCCTGCCTGCCTTTTCTCCTGCTCCCTCTTCCACCCATATGCCTGTCCTGTCCACCAGCCCTACAAGTCACCTGCGCTGTGGGGCATGCTCTTGAAAGTGCTGTGGAAATAGCTGAGGTAGGCAATGAGGCCCAGTGGGTCACTGCCTGACACCACTGCCTGAGCAGACAACACTGGTGTGATGCCCAGTTCATGCTCTGCTACCCGCAGGGCCCAAGCAGTGGTCTCTAGAGCTCCCATGCCTTGCAGCTCTGAAGGTTCCCTGTGGGGTATGAGAAGAGAAGCCAATGAGAAGTACAAACCTGGCTCCATGGAGAGGGACGAGGGAGTTAAAAACAGTAGGAGGCACGGGATAGCAGGTAGGGTCTGGAAGACAGCGAAGGGCAGTGACGGCACCAAGGTTGGTTGTTGGCTCTGTGGCACCACATCGTGTGTGTGTGTGTGTGTGTGTGTGTGTGATTTTTTTTTTTTCCCCTGCTTGATTTTTCAAAGACCTGTCACTCTTCCTCGCACAGACTCCTTGGCCACCATGTGATACAGGTCTCAATACCTAAGGCAGCTCCTGTCAGTCTCAAGGCACCTGACCACAAGGGCCTTCAGCCCATGGGGAGGGTCCCTCCTGTGGTTAAGACTGAGCCCCAGGGGTAGTAATTGGGCAGGGAAGGCCTGGCCTGTGGAAGGGGGTTGACATGAGAAGATGGGTGGGGGTCTGACATGGCCTTAGACTCACAATGATCCTCCTCCTTCTACCTCTGCCTCTCAAGTGCTTCTGTTATAGGTTTGTGTCACCACACCTAGCAATGAAGCTTTTCTTTCTGTGGTGTTGGGGATTGAACCCAGGACTTCACTCATATTAAGTCTCTATCACTGTTGTATGTTCCCAGACCGTTCTGACTTCCTCTATCTGAATGCATATTGATTTTGTCAAAACTCCCCTAGGCTGGTGGGCACAGCCAGACTGGAATCACACTGCTAGAGAGGTGAAGTGATAGGGCAGAAGGTGGAGTTGGGGTTCACTAGCTGCGAAGTCCTGCATAGCATCACCTTCCCATGCAATAGAGGGGAGAGGCATGGGAGAGAGGTACGATCCCTGTAGCTCCCCAACTCACAACAGGCCTGGCCGTAGGTGGTGTACCAAGGCACACAGAGCTAGTCCATCAGTCCATGAGGAAGACAAGTCAGTGACATGAACTCCAGGAAACCCAGCTGTTTGCTCCTGGCACCAGTGTAGGAGCTCCTCAGTACCTGCTGACCCTGGGAGAGCAGAGCTGTGTTGTACCCACAGCCCCTCTGCCCCACACCTAGCATATACCCTGTTGCCAAGTGTGTAAGCACTGGGGTGCCAACCTAATGCTTACTGCCAGCAGCACCTCCTTCACCCCCATTCTCATTTAAAAATCCCTTCCTGGCATAAAGTTGGGCAATGAATAGAGCAACCACTACAGCCATATAGAAGCCAGGGGGCTGTGAAGAGAGGGTCAAGGAAGTTGAGATGCCTGAAATGGTAGTTTGGAGTTTGTACTCAGAGCTGGTGGGACAGGGTTAGCAGAACAGCTGGAACAGCATAACACAGCTGCTGGTGCCATCGCAGTAGATAACTACTTCCATATGGCTGGCACAAGGCTACTACTCAAGCTCTGTGGCTCCTCCACTCCCGAGGACCCGAAACCACCCCACCAAACAAGCTTTCCAGGGTGGAGCCCTGTGGTGGTGCTGCAGCATGCAGGCTGCTGACTGCTTCGCTGGCTGGTGGAAGACCTGCTCACCTGTGGTTGTAGTCCCTGAATCTGTCTTGTCACTCTTCCTCTGCATGGGCTCCTTGGCCACTACATCATACAGGTCTTGTACCTAAAGCAGCTCCTCTCAGTCTCAAAGCAGCTGATCACTCAGCCCCTCAATCCTTGGAGGGGGGTTTCCTGTGGCAAGACTGACCCCGAGGGACAGTAACCGGACCGGGAAGGCCTGGCCTGGGTTTGAAAGGGGTTGACTTGGGAAGATGGGTGAGGGTGTAGAGGGGTCTGACCTGATTGGGGGTCACAGCTCGGAGGTTCAGGTTGGGGTAGCGAGTGGCAGGGTCCAGCCCATACTGAGCTACATTTCGATGCATGTTTTCCGGGGATGTTTGTGACAGAAGCTGGTACAGGCTCTCACTGGGGGTGACGATGGGAGGTAGGGTCACGAACAGGAGGGCACCTGTCAGCATCTGCCCCTCAAAAACTGCCGTACCTTTCTAATAGCCTCATGACTTATCCATTTCCTCAATATCCTCTGCCCCTCATCCTGATCCTTGACCCAAATCATGTCTGCCCTGCCTATACTAGTTTCCGAACCCAGGCCTCACCGTTCAGCCAACACCTCAAGGGGCCCAATGCCCTCTGCCCACCGCTTCACCATCCAGGCTGCATCGAAGGCTGCCAAGAAGCCCCGGGCCACTCCAGTACCCAGGGGCCAGAAGGGCTGCACAGTCAGAGGAACAAGAAACAGCTCAATGAGATCCAGGTGTGTCCCAAACCTAAGTGTCTCCAAGGTTAAGGGGGTGGGAGGGATCCCTTCACCTCACCAGACAGCTTTCACTTCCACCAATGGGCCGTTAGCTCCTCCCCTCAACAAACAGACCTTATTAGTTACCCCTCCTTCCCTTTCCAGTTAGGCAGCTTCCTCCCTGACCATGGACTCATGTGCCTCCTGAAGCCCTCACCTCCACTAGGCAGTCTCCCACCAGTCCCAATAGTAAGCGGACACCATGCTTTTCTTGCACACGAGCAGAACTCTCTGCCCGCATCATGCTTGTGAAGTCAAAGGCAGCCACATCAGGTCGCCCATGAGCATCCTGAGCAAACTCTAGTTTCCTGAGCTTGCCACATGTGGCGAAGTTAGCAGCTGCCCTGGCAAAGTGCTGCAGAGCCTCAGGAACCACATTGTCACTGCCCAGCAGTCGGTCGGTCTCTGGCCAGTCCTACATAGCCAAGAGAAGAAATCAGAAGCTGAGACCTGAGCACAGGGTTACTGCCCACCCCCACCCCCTGCACACACTATGGCCTGGAGAAGGAAAGGGCTGCCTAGACAACACAACAATCGAAAGCTAAACTTGGAGAATTCCAGTAGCCTGTCTCCCATACTGAAGTTCCTTCCTCAGCAGTTGCTTCTGTCACTGGGGTCCCCAAATCCTGCTCTACCATGAAGCACAACACTGCTGTCATAGACCTGTCCTGAGATAATCAAAACCCCAGTCTGTCCAGCAGTTACAGACAATACACGTAACTTACAAGTACTCATGAGAAGTAGATGAGAAAGTTCGAAGCAAGATCTCAGCACAGTACTTCTCACACAGGAGGCACCCAGCTAGTTCGCCCATTCGGCAAACATGTATTGGGTGCTTACTATACATCAGGTACCATTCTAGGCACTGGAAATTGACAGCAAACAAAAGACCAAGAGACAAAAATCCTTGCCCTCCTGAAGCTCATGTGTAATACTGTATCTAGTAGATAGTTTAACCCAGAACAGATTCCTGGTGCTACATAAATGCAGGGCACAAGAGCTTGTAGAAGTGGAGTTAATGGCAGAGGCTGGAGCGGATGGGTGCCATCCACATTCAGGGGTAGACTGTATCCAGCCTAGCCTCTTCCTTCCTGGGCTGGGGTCCCACCTGGCGCAGCACCCCCAGCCGCAACAGGCACTGCTTCTTGGCTGTCATCACAAAGTAGTGGGTATCATCCTTGTAGTACACAATGTTCTCTAGATCAATGCCTGGGGGGATAGGACAGGGGACAGGAGATGAGTCTCCAATGATTATGCATTACCTTTCCAAAATACCCCAGCTGTGTCTGACATCTGAAAGCTGGAATCACAGCTTAGGCTGCAATGGGTGTTCCACACACACAGCAGGACCATCTGCTGTGGCCCAAGAAACTTGACAGGTTGGAACAAAGAAAACTCAGGTGGAGTGACAGCTGGGAGGGAGCCTGCACCACATGGTCACGTGGCAGCACAAAGCCAGAGTAAACAGAGTATCCTTTTGAACTCCACTTCCTCTTTCAATTTACATTTTTATACTACAGCCTGAAGGTACACAAAATACCAGAGCACCTTAGAGTTTGGGGATGTTTCATACTAAGCAAGCAGCAGCTTAGTCCTGGGGGACTAGTTCTTTCCCCTTTGCTGTCAAGGCCACAAGGATGGACAAGTTCTCAGACTAAGGGCAGGTCTGGGAGGCAGAGGTGGGAACCAGCTGGTGGACTGAAGGGAAAGCCAGTGAAGGTGGGCCCTGACCTGTAGCTTTGAGCAGGTTCTGAAAGAATTTCTGGTTGTAGATCCGGGCTACACCGCTGATTTCTGGCACCTGTGTCTCCTCCACTGTGCGGCCATTCACAAAGTTGGCTGTGATGCCAATGGCCAGTTTGCCACGCATCTCACGGATGGTGAAGCCTAGTGGTAGGGTAAGGTGTCATGGCAGGAGGACCAGGAATAACACTTCCAGAAAGGTCCAGGGGAGCCCAAGATGCTAGCTTTTTTTTTTTTTTTTTTTTTTTTTTTTTTAAGGGATGGGATCACTCACCTTCCGGGACAAATTTACCCCCTGCAGCTGAGATGAGGACATCAAAGTCATAGTTGGCCAGATGAGCTGGGGGATTGGGTTGGAGCTGGGCACGCCATCCACTCCCTGGAACAGAGACAGTATGAGAGCCACAAAGGTGTAGAAGTCAGAGGGGCTCTACACTCCAGGTCAAGCTAGGGAAACAAATGTGTAAAGGACTCTATAGTTTAGAAAGCAGTGACACATCTATTAGATTACACCTTTGCAGCAGCCCAGGAAGGCAGGTGAGAAAGGCCATGTTATTCTCATCTTGCTATTCTCATTTGCCTGCTTTCTGAGAGAGAGATGGCCAGGCCTCATTGTTAAAAAAGAAGACTCCCAGCTGGGTGTGGCAGCACACGCCTTTAATCCCAGCATTTGGGAGGCAGAGGCAGGCGGATCTCTGTGAGTTCGAGGCCAGCCTGGTCTACATGGAGAGTTCCAGGCCAGCTGGAGCTACTAGGAGACCAAAAAAAAAAGACTCCCAGCCCCACCTTTTTATACTCTGGCCAAGATCTCTTGGGTGAGTGGAGGCTCCCAGAAATACAGAAGTACTTACCCTTTCTGGGAGGGGGCTGGAGGCCAGTGAAAGTGACACCCCAGTGAATTTCCACCCCCAACAGTAATGCCACCTTCAGTAGAAGCAGCTGAAGCTGTCGAATGCCTGGAAGCGAGAAGACATTAGGAATGGACCTGAGCTACTGTGTCTTCCCTAGCTCAGTTGTGTTCCTAGTCAGAGCTGGAGGAGGTCTTAGAGACCACTGTGCCTGTCTCCAGCTGTATCACCCTAACACAATGGATATCATCTGATCCCAGAAGTTAAGCAGGGTTGGTCCTGGTTACTACTTGGATTCGAGAAATCACTCTGCCCACTTTACAGGTAACAGATCTAGGTCTTTAAGGTCACCCGGCTTAAGTGAATCTTGTTTACTCTGCCTCTTTTCTGGCCTGGCAGTCCCTCATTGGCCTGCCTCTAGGCCCAGGCACATCCACCCCTGCAGGCTACCATGAGGTTCTTACTGATATGGTCCAGGGTGCCAGTACAGAAGCGCCCATAGAACTTCTTTGCCCCCAGTGCCCGTAGGTCATGAATGGTGAAGGGCCAGAGATGGAGTACATTGTGCCGAGAGAACTTGGTACGCTTTTCCACCAACACCACACGGGCCCCTAGCAGTGCCAGTTCCACAGCAGCCCGAAGCCCACAAGGTCCAGCACCTACCACCAGACACTGTAAACACGCAGGGGAGGACAGGTGTGGCATCTTGTCTCCTTCTGATTCCCCCACTGCACACACCCCTCCCAGACTCCAGGTATCCACCTTGGTGTTGGTACAGGCCTGGCCTTGCTGGTACACAGGCTGGCCTGCTCTCTTGTCCAACTTGGCCCACAGTGACTTGGCACTCCAGTAGTTGAGCTGGTCCTTGATCTTGTAGTACTGGGACAGCCCCCCACCAGGCTCAAGCCCCAGGGCCCCACAGAGCCCTTGAAAGCTGCTCAGTACTTCCTGACACAGCTGGGCCTGCACAAAACTCTCAAAGTGGGCATGTGCTGGGTTGGCTGAGGCCGGTGAAGCCATGGAGGCCCCCCTAGGGCTCCTGGGGAGAGGAGTACTTAGGCAGAACTTAGGAGCTGTGGAGAGAAGGAGGAGATTGGAGAAGAGTGAGAGGGAAAGAACCGGGGAGGAGCAAGCTGAGAAGGCCGGCATCCCAAAGGAGTTCAGGGTCCATCCCTGATTGGCTGTGCTGCTCCCAGCACAGTCCCCTGCCAAGATCTGCCCCAGAGACTGTGGCTATCTCTTTATTAAGTGAAATTTGCCCAATTTGGGAATGAGAACCCAGCAGTCCAGGGTACAGAGGGCACAGGAACGCTATGGGAGCCTCCCTGTCCGGAGATCCCAGAGACATACAACATCCCTGGGGCCCTGGGGCTTAGGAATTGTAGTGTGCCTTCCCTAGGTTCTGAAAGTAGGACGTGGGGGAGTTTCTCAGCAGGCTGCCAGGACAAGATTTCCCTTCCTGTAGACAGCGAGAGAGCCAACACCGCAACCCAGCCACAGCTGCTTGACATGCACACACCCATCTCACCCGAAGAAGCCTCGTTATGTCGGCACCCTTTGGTGGCCTCGGTGCCACTCTGGGTGTGGGATATGCCTCTGGCCAAGGGCAAAGTTTTCATCCACGTGCTTACCTCCTGACAGGGGTAACAGTCCCAGCAACACAACTACCTCCACAAATAGCCAGAGGATGTTGCGACTGTCTGTGTCAGAGGCCCGAGACCTGACTTCCCCTGTGAGCCTGTCGCTGCTTCAGTGGGCCGTGGGAAGACGTGGGGGCAGCAGCAGCTGGGCTCGCTCTTCCCAGGTCCCTCCCATCCCAATCGACCCCTGCCCCACTCCGGCGAGTGCTCTCCCAGGAATCTCCAGAGACAAGGCTTCCCTTTGTCCCCCTCTCCTTTCCTCCAGCCCACATGCAGCTTAAGGGCTGTTGGAGGGCTTTCTCTGGCGGCAGCCGGAAGGGATGGAGGGGATGGGGGATGGGCAGCCCACAAGGGAGTTAGACTGAGTGGGTTCACCAACGGGAGCAGGTCGTTAGGGGCCGAGCACTCATCCCCCAGCTGCTCCTCTTTGCCTGCATGGCAGGAGGGGGCTAAGGTCGTCCACCGCCGGTCACTAGGACCAGGGTGGCTAGGACTTCAGGAAGGGCAAAAGTCCCTCTAGGAGCTGTGAATCGCAGGGCTAGGGAAGTCCTCTACGAAGGGAAATAAAGAGGGACCCAACCTGGAAATTCCGAGACATAGGAGGTGCGAAGGGTGGAGCGGTCTGAAGGAATGGAAAGCTGGACGTTGGTAGCAGGGTGGGGACAGGGAGACCCCAGCACTCCGTACCGCCAAGTCTGCAGAGGGGCTGGCTGGGCGGGACCGCCAGGGGGACTGGCGAGGCGCGCCAGGCATGGCTCGGTGCAGCGGGGCGCATTTTCCCGGAAGCGCTCCCCACCCTCACCCTCAGCCCCGCGGGCCGGGGGCACAAGGCAGGCACCGCTGGACTACTTACCGCGCAGTTCTGGAGTCGGAAGGGCGGCTTCCTGCCGTGAGGGTGTTCCAGGGTTGGGACGGAGGAAGGGGTGGCGGAGGAAAGGCAGCGGATGGGGACTACCGGGGCTCCCGAGTCCCGAGGGGAGTGAGCTCCGGTCCGAAGAGGGGAGCCCAGTAGAGAGTTTATCCACACCTCATTACCATCCGATGATCCCCAGTTCTCAGATGGGACAGCTCTGGGCCCGCCCACGCCTGCAGGGTGGGGCCCGAGGGCGTGGCTCTGCAAACACAGGGAGCTGCTGGGGGGGACTCCAAACTCTCAGGCCTGGCTGGGTCCCTGAGCAGCAGGAACAGGGGTGACCGTGCCGGCTCGCGTCCCCACCTTACCAACCCAAAAGGCCACGGTGCTGGTTGGCGCCAGAAGGTTTTTGACGCTGGAGAGTCAGAGTGTGGCGCTGGATGTCTGGACTCTCTTCAGCTCTCCCATCAGGAAACCTCTGTGCCATTCGTGGATCCAGTTTAGGGGTCATCTCACGTCGACTCCCCTGCTCCGGATGAGGGCAAAGCTTAAAGTCCTGGTCTGCACCTTTCAACTAGGCACAAGAAGTAAGGGAACATGGGGTGTGTGTGTGTGACCTTTACTAATAAAGATAGAAGAGGAGGAGTAGAGGCCAGCTCCCAAAGTGAAGACGAAACTTACAGTACTAGGAAGCTTTAGGATCCAATTCTTAATATTTCCCATAAGGAAACAGCACCCAAAATGAAGGATTTTGTCCAAAATCATGCAGCTAGTTAAAGTTAATAAAGCATCAGTTTTCATTTATTGAATAAGTGTTAACAAAGCCTATTGTACTGAAAAGTTAACTGAAGGACACAGAGGCTTCATGACTTGCACAGTGGCATAGCTGGTATAAGACCCAGGTCTCTCTGGACTCTAACCTACCACTGTTGATCCATCATGAGAAATAAAAGGTCTGGCATTATGAGGAAGTGAAATTGCCACACCAGAAACAAACCAAGGAAGAACTGGTTGTGTCAAAAATGGTATGTTTCTCTCTTTGAGGCCCACTGGCTGTCCTTTTTATTTTCATTTTGCATTTTGTCAAGAGACCCTGGGAGACCCAGTAAGACCTGAACACTTAGGGCTCTCAGCTGAAGCTGATAAACAGGCAGGGGAGAGAAGCAAGAGGAATTGCCAGTTCTCTGCCAGGAGAGGCCAAGCATTCTCAGGCCACACTCGGGAAGCTAGGACAGCCTTCCAGCTAGGCCTTCTCTGGCTCTTGAGGATGACATCATTTGACTTGTAATGAATTTACAGACTGTGAGACACACCCATTTTTAAACACTGTTTAAAAATGCTCTAAATGTCCACTATTCATAAGTTACTAGGCTTTTAGTATCATCCTGTTTCCTTTTCATTAGCAGATGGGCAGTCGCATCTCCAACTTAGGGTATTTGTTTGCAAAGGCCCTGTAGGGTCTAGGTTGCCTCAATGTCTTTCAAAACAAGGTTATGTGGCTCTATGAACAACAAATTGTAAAAATTGTCTTTCAAAAAGATCATAGAATGAGTGCTTCAATATTTAAAAACCTGCTGACTTACAGTTTTTCTCGATGCTAATTAAAGACATACACTGGAGCATAGAGCCGTGGGGAACACATAGGTCTGGAATCCAGAAGGTCTGGTTGGATTCCAGCACTAGACCTAGTGTGATTAGAAGTCACAAACCACCTCATTTCAGTTTTCTCTAAATGCAGGCATTTAATGACTCAACTCTCCCAGCCCATTTCAGCTGAGTTCTTTTTATTTAGTGTTGCTGATTCTGTACAGAATAGAAACCGAATCTACTTACAGAACTCCCCCAAATGTGTGGGGGGGCTACCATTGAAGGTAAAAGAATGTATTATGTGCCTACAAATATTTTCCTTGTTAAGAGTCTCTAGTTATGATCCACACTACATATATAGAACTAAAAATACTGGAATGCCCACAGTGACCAGTTCATACTGGATCAAATAAATTAAATGGCCCACACATGAAAAGTCAGTTTTAAAGAATACAATTCAAATGGCTTTGGAAATAATTATGCCAGCAGTGGCCTAGGTTAAAATCCGGAATCACTAAAATAAGCTCTTCTTCCTTCTTCCCTAGAACACGCTGGTTCTGTGTTCTTGCAATGCCATCTTTACTTCCTTATCTCACACCTCCCAACCTCTGATCTCCTGGGCCTAGAGCCAGAAATGAAGCTCCTATCGCTGCAAGTGGATTCTTTATTTTACTGTATATTATGACCTTGCATCTGCAGGTCAGTATCTTCAATTTCATAGGCCTAACCTAGGATCCGTGTGTTCCAGAGAGCCACAGTTACTGAGGTAAAATAGTTACACACAGAGCCAAAGGTGTGGAGTGTTACGGAAGTTTATGATCAGGTGGCTTAAGATTAGAGGATCAGGGAAGGCCTCTTCTAATTCTGACAAGAATGGTATGAATCAGATAATGAGGGCAGACAACTTTCAGGGCTGAGAAATCACCTGTCCATAAGTCCTCAGGCAGGAAATAGCTGGGTGTGTGGTGGGCAACAGCTAGGAAACCAATGTGGAGGGAAGTGAGAATATAGAAGAGGGATCTACAAGGAAGCTGGGTTGGGGATTTTATTCTAGGTGCAGTGGGAAACTGTAGAAGGATTTTAAGTAGAGTGGGATGGGGTCATATCTGCCTTAATTAGAATAATGCAATCCATTCACTGAGCAAGACATTCTGTTTGATAAGAGCACAATGGTGAAATCCAATGGATTACCACCCTCTTGTGGAAAAAGGGGCAAGGCAGGGGGTTAGAAACCATCTTTCTGAACCTGTGGCAGAGTCCAGGCAAGGGACACAATGTACAGTAGGGATGGGACAAGGGGATGGATTGAAAAGGTATCTTGAGGTAAAACTGTTGTAACGTGGCGATGGATTCCACGGGGGTGGAGAGTGGGGTATGGGGTGTGTGTGTGTGTGTGTGTGTGTGTGTGTGTGTGTGTTGTAAGGCCTCATTAAGAATCATTCCTGGGCTGGAGAGATGGCTCAGCAGTTAAGAGCACTGACTGCCCTTGCAGAGGACTTGGGTTCAATTCCCAGCACCCACATGGTGGCTTTGAACCATCCTTAACTCCAGTTCCAGGGGAATCTGAAGCCCTCTTCTGACGTCCACAGCATTGCACGACACAGGCACACTCACATGCATGCAGGCAATACACTCATACACATAAAATAAACAATAATAAAATTTAAAAAAATCACTCCTAAGCTGAGGATATAGTTCAATTGGTACAGTGCTTACCTAGCATTCAGGAAGCCCTGGGTTTGATCCTCCAGCACCACATAAAAACTGAATATGGTGGCACCTGCCTATAAACCCAGCACTCAGAAGGTGGAGGCAGGAGCATTAGGGTTAAAGGTCATTCTCCACTCCATAACAAGTTTCTTTCCTACCCTTCTGTCCAAACTTATCTTTGTACGCTGTTTTTTTGTTTTGTTTTGTTTTGTTTTGTTTTTTGTCTTTTTGAGACAGGGTCTTCCTGTAGCCCCAGCTGTCCTGGAACTCACTATGTAGACCAGGCTGGCCTTGAACTCAGAGATCTGCCTGCCTTTGCCTCACAAGTGCTGGGATTAAAGGCGTGTGCCACTATGCTGGCGTGTACGCTACTTTTTATGAGACAGTTTTTCCAGAAGTCAATGCATGATTTCACAGGCTCCAAAATAACAAGGAATCCTTCCTGAGAAGCTGCAAAAAAGTAAAGCAAATAGGTCCATCCAGTATTTCCCATGTTTTCCTATGAGACTACTTTCATTCTTTGGACACAATGATTACAGGAGGTATTTTTCCAGAAGTCACTTAATCATAGTTATCTGAGGTAGTTTTTAAAATGTGGTTTTGCTTTTAACTCAAATTTAGCCCAAGGAAGCTTTAACTTTTCATTTAACAGGGATAAAATAATATGAACTTAACCAGGCATATAGTTGCACACTTATAATCCCAGAATGTGGGAGGAAGAGACAGGATAATCAAGAGATCAAGCTCAGCCTAGACTATAAGAGACCCCAACTCAACAAACAAGACAAAACAAACAAAACTAAAGCCAAGAGCCAAACTATTCTTTGGAAAATCATCTTCAAATTCTTAAAGTGATGTATTACAGTTTGCAAACTCAAACCAGACAGAAAAACCAGCATAGAAACCGGGGAAATGGGCAAGAAGCCCCAACCTTAGCTAAGGAACTATTGGCAGCTGATCACTGCTGGGTGAGGGAGAGCTGATCTTTAAAGGAGTGATGCTAGACAGACTGAACAGGTTCCAGTGGATGGTCTCACTCCGAGGGACAACTGGGGACACAAACTTGACTTGATAGGCCTTAACACATATGACAGAATGCATGAACTCCAGTGGGGGTACTACAGGGGAGTATAGATAAAGGAGCCTAAATAGGATTAAAATGTATTGTATGAAATACACAAACATTCAATTAAAAATATATCAAAAACAGTAAGTCCATGCTCTGGGACTATTTTCCATTCCCAGCTGTGCTTGTTTTCTCCTTCTTCCCACACTTCACTTTGAATGTAGTTGTCACTTTTCAAACTCATAAAAAAAGCCAAGGGGGGCGGGGCTGGGGAGCTGGCTCGGTGGTTAAGAGCACTTGTTGCTTTTTCAGAGGACTTGAGTTTCGTTCCAAGTACTCACATGGTAGCTCACAACTATTTGTAACTGCAGTTCCAGGGGATCTGTTGCCCTCTTTTGGCCTCCTTGGGCAACAGGCATGCAGGTGGTACACACACATACATGTAGGCAGACACTCAAATACCTTGCTGATGTCACCTAAATATGGTCAGTTTCCTGCATTTTATTAAAAATATGGTTGAATGAACTTTAAAAATTTGTCTAATGTGCGGGCATTTCAAGTGAGAATAACAGGTAGCAATGTTAACTAAAGTTCTTGTTTAATAATGACTTTGAAAGCAAGTTCAGTTATCACAATGACATCCCAGTGCCCTTTAGAGGCCACTCCTTCCTACATAAAGAGCTGGCAAGGGAGAGGGTTTTTGGGGGGAAGAGGGAGGTAATTCCTATTTACAAAAGCCAAGACCAAGGGTTGCTTGTCTTTGAATTTATAAGGATGTAGGCTGAAATTTGGAAACTAAAGATCAAAAACTTAAACTCATAATACTTATCAAACAAATCTGTCTTAAAATATCATTAGTAAAAGGTTGAAAAGAAAGGCTTACTTACAGAGAGGTTAATGTTAGACATAGCCAAAGTATTTCACCTTCAAAGCAACTTTCTACTTGGTAAATTTGTATTAATAGCAGCAAAATACTAGTATTATTGAAATGGCAGTTAATCCATTTCTGTAGGAGAGACTCTGACTTTGACTTTATTGTAAAAAGCTTGTGTGATAACCTTTTAGACATCCCTCACTTTTAGTTTCAATTGTGAAAGCAGTATAATGGGATCAAGCCAGGCTTGTGCCCTAGTTCTGCCTCTGCCACTTTATGACCTTGGATAATGTATCATCTCTTTGGGCCTTACTGTTCTCATCTGTAAAATGGGCATAATAATACTTACCTCATAGGAATGTCATGAAAATTAAGCAAGACTCACTTCAAATAGGTTTCAGGTGTGTCCCAGTTCATGGCACCCCTCCACACTTCAGATATCCATTAAAGACTGAACTATGCTCCTTTGCCCCCCAAATTTACATTGAAACCCTAACCTTACTGCCTCAAAATAGGGCTGCACTTGGAAAGAGGGCCTTTCAAGAATGAATGAAGTTATAAATTAAGTTACTAGTATGGGCTCATGCAGTGTGCCTAGTGTCCATATGATAGGAGGCAGTTTGGACAAAGGAAAGAGCATGTGAAGACATAGGGAGAAGGCGACCAGGAAGCCAAGGAGCAATGCCTCAGAAGAGACCTCTCCGCCAACTTGATCTCACATTTCTAACCTCCAGAACCCTAAGGAAATAAATTTCTACTGTTAAAGCACCAGGTCTGTGTAGTTGTTATGGCAGTCCTAGAAAACTAATACATGTCATGGCTAGATGGGACTTGGAGTCCTTATGAATCCTGGTTTCTTGTTTTTGAGACAGGACCTTATATAGCCCAGGCTGGCCTCAAACTCACTATGTAGCTAAGGCTGAGATTGAATTCCTGATTCCTCCTGCCTCTACCTCCCAAGTGCTATGATTACAGGTCTGCCCCACCAAGCTGGCTTGTAAATTCCATTGCTGTGTGCCACTCCATGGGAAAAGATTGAGAATCACTAAGATAGGAGAAAGGCCCAAGATACTCGGGTTCCCCCTGGCCTTCAGCAGACTCCCTGTGTGGCAGATAAGACCCCAATTTCTGGAAAGCTGAGTATAAGCACCTATAATGAGAACTTAGCTTTATTTAAGTGTAGCTCACAGCACCTACAAAACAAGTCCCAAATGTAGAAAACAAAAAGCAGAGGCTGAAAATTTCAAGAAACACTGGGTAAGGACATGAATATTTTCTTTTTAAAAAAATAATTTATTGAGAATTTCATATATGCATATAAGGTGTTTTGATCAAATCCATGCCCGCTCCCTCCCCTCTAACTCCTCCCATATCTCCCCTTCATTTTTTCTGATAACTTCATGAACCCTTTTTTTTTTAAATCAAGCTTTTTGCTACTCTAACATTCCCCCCTCTGAAGAGGTAACCCCAAAACCTTTTAAGGATAAGAGCTTCCAAATACTTTCAACATTTTTGGCCTTTAGAACAGAGTAATGTTGCTAAGAGGCCCAAGGAACTGGGCCAAGAAACTGGCTACTTTTCTTTGTAGTCTTTTTACCCTAACTGCCTAGCTAATTCCTACCTCCTATTCTTATCACACCATCCTCTGAAGGGGTTACCAAACTTGCAGATAGGGAATTGGGATGTAGACCACTTTGGCTTCTTCCAGGCAATTGAGGTCCCCCTTCCGTGGGTCCATCTAAAAGACTCCCAAATTGCATAACTCTTATCTGTAAGGGGAAAAGAAAGTCCTTGACTGGTGAATAGGAGATTTGAAGGAAAAGTAAAGACAAGAGTAGCATTACAAGTCCTAGGCAGGGAACTAGAAAAAAGTCAGAACAGGGCAAATTTCAAATGTTCATATGAGAGTCCATTGGGATTTCTTCAAGAGCTTCCAAAAGCATCCCTCTATTGGGTTCCTCCTCATTTTTATTTTGTCTGCCAAGGCTGGACTCAAGAGTGATGGGTTCAGGATTTGCTTTCAGGCACTTTGATAACTGTTAGTGTGGTTAGAATCAGTGTCAGTTCCCTCTCAAAGACTTAGATAGGGAGGGAAAACAAATTTAGCAACTGTTTTAGAACAATAGTGGGTTGTCTCCCTTAGCTACAAGTGGGCACTACAATATTGCAGACCAAGATTTGACATCTTACATCTGAGCAGCACTTTCTGATTAGGAAGGACATGAATATTTTCATGTTAAGTGCGTGAACCTTCCCAAGGCCAATGCTCTAAGATCACTAAAGATACTTTCCAAGCAAGGTTGGTTTCAGGACCCCCAAAGCATAATATCCTATTTCCTAATAAAGGCACTTTGTATTTTTGTGTCAGGCATGGTAACATACACCTTTAATCCCAGGACTTGGGAGGCAGAAGCTAGCCTGGTCTACATAGTGACTTCTAGGCTAGCTGGGGCTATAGGAAGACCCTATCTCAAAAAAGTTTTTAAAACCGCACACATTGTGAAGTGTTCCACTGGTCCTGTCACTTTTCAAGGACTCAAGAGGAGCACTGTGTCTATTTTATTTGGGTGTAGAAATGTTAAAAAGGGTTTCATTCCAAGGACAGAATATGTATTTGGACACAAAGAGTTCTAGGGCAACAAAACCATCACCTGTTCATTCTCCTTTGACAGTTGGTCAGATAATTTAGTCAAGGCTGGGACTGGATCCCAGGCTAGAAGCAGGGAAAGTGCTTGTGATGTAGCCTGTGCAACTGAGGAACTAGACTTTTAAAAGAAAGCTAAAAATAGGTTTATTTCAGTTATTGAAAAGCTGGCTGACTACTTGATATCTAGGTTTTTAACCTATAAGCTGTATGAAATCTAATCTATAGACCAGGTACCACCCAGTGACCACGGCCATCTAAACTGAGATATGAAGCATGAAACACACAACCCAGTGGAGGATTTAGTATCAGAGGGAGGATGTAAAATGTATCACTAACACATTTTAGTATCAATCACATGTTGAAATATTTGGCAAAAGACATTCTGGTTCCATGCTGTTGCTGTGCCAAATACCATGACCAAAGTAACTTAGGGGAAGAAAGGATTTATTTGGCTTACACTTTAAGTCACAACTCATTAATGACAGAAGTCAGAGCAGGAACTCAAGGCAGGAACCTTGGAGGATGTGGCTTTCTGGTTTGCTTTCTGGCTTATGCTTAGCTAGCTTCTTTTTTATACTTGTATAAAAGCCCAGGACCACCTGCCCAAGGAAGGGTGTCACCTACAGTGGATTGGGCCCTCCTACCTCAATTTATGATCAAGACAGTTCTCCACTGGCGTGCCTACAGACCAACCTGATCTAGGACATTCCTCAGTTGAGGTTTCTCCTCCCAGATGACTCTGGATTGTCAAGTTGACAATTACAGCTGAACAGACTAATTTGGTTAAAATTAACTTTATATATTGCCTATTTTTACATTTTTTCTTTTTGAGATAGGGTCTCCCTACTACTCCCTGTAGTCCCTGTTGGCCTGGAACTCACTATGTAGACCAGACTGGCCTTAATCTCAGAGATTTGCCTGTCTCTGCCTCTCAAGTTTTGGGTTTACAAGGCAAGTACCACCATGCCCAGCTTATTTTTACATTAAAATTTTTTATTTACATTTATTATTTTCATTTTATGTGAGTGTATTGCCTGTACGTATGTGAGTGCACCTGTGTCATGCACTGCCGCGGAGGTCAGAAGGTGTTGGATTCCCCTGGAACTGGAGTTAAGGATGGTTCATAGCTGCCATGTGGGTGCCGGGAATAGAACCCGGGTCCTCTGTAAGTGCAGTCAGTGCTCTTAACCGCTGAGCCATCTCTCCAGCCCCTAGTTTTACATTTTTAAATATGGCTTTTAGGACATTTTATATTACTTATGTGCCTCATACCCTTTAAAAAACAAACAAACAAGAAAAACAGTGCTGGAGATGAGTCCACGGCCCTGTGTGTGCTAGCAACAACACTACCTTTGAGCTATGTCACCAGCCCTTATTTTTAAATAAGTTCTAAGTACCTGCTCAGGCTAGTCGCAAGCTCATGGTCTGTCTGCCTCTGTCTCCTGGGATTACAGGCCTGTACCACCAGGCCTGGATCATGTTATATTTCTTTTAATACAGAGATAGACTGTTATAAAACAAGTTAAAATTTGACTTGTAATCAGACATGTAGCCCTAGCATTGTGGTGTACATCTGCAGTCACTTGAGACCAGAAGATCAAAACCAGCCTGGGTATCATAGTGAGATACTGTTACATATATGTATATGTGTGTGTGTAATTACACGCACATATAAATGAAAAGTAAATAAAATCTTGGACCGAGGATGGAACTCAGTAGTGGCGCTCACACTTAACATGCACAAGCATCAAAAATATAAATGAACAGCCATATAACCATGTTTCTGAATAATTACCTAGCTATCTATGGTGATTAAAAATCCATTTACTTTAATACTACATAGAGTTCCTTGAAAAAATGAGTATCAGCAGGATTTTAAAAGCTGGCAAAAAATCTGTTTTTAGTAATAAAATAGGGGCCTGGAGAGATGGCTCAGTGGGTAAGAGTGCTTGCTGTACAAGTGTGAGGGCCTGAGTTCAGATCCTGGCACTCAAGTAAAAATCCAGGAGATGGCCATGTGTGCTTGTAGCTCCAGTGCTGTGGAGGGTGGAGACAGGAGGACTGCTGGGGTCTGCTGGTCACCAGCCTCCAGGTTCAGTGACAGATCCAGTCTCAAGGGAAAAAGGTGAAGAATGACAAAGTGGGGTACCCAGTGTCCTCCTGTGGTCTCCATAAACAAACACTGTGCACAACACACACACACACACACACACACATACACACACACAGTTTAAATGACTAAATGAAGAACCCCAAATAATAAAGTATACAAGTATTTGTAAAAAATTATCCCTCTGTTCTACTCAGGCCCAAATTAATATTACTTTGGTTGATGCACATTAAGATATATATCATTTTGGAAAATTTGTGAATTATGTTTAATAAAATACAACTTGATAAATATGGATCAAAAATACTTTCATCCTCTCCCTAACCTGAAGAATTACCTATTTCTTTAACTTTCAAAGAGCATACTGGATTTGGGTGGAAATAAAAGCCATCTAAAATTAAAAAAAACTGTTATAAAGATATTAATTTTAAACCTACTTTCTACCCCCATTATTTTATCTTAAGATATACTAATGCCCCATCTCTATTATCAAATGTCCCTGCCAGCTTCCAGGAAAATTAGTCAAAAATTTTGATTAAATACAGTGAGCTTGAAAACACAATCTAAACATAATCTTTTGACGACCATTTACAAGTTACACAATTTAGACACAGGCTACTTACTTGGTCTCTGAGGTTCAAAATTAAGTGATAAGTTGTGGGATTTAACCTTGACTATAATAAAAATAGGTTTTTATATTTCTACTTCTAGAAAGTTCTAAGAACACATAAATCAATATTTTTCAGAGATCAAATAGAATCCAGTAGAGCATATTGAAGACTTACATTGAATAAACTTTTATGTTCCAGAGTAGTTAAGAAACCTTTAACTTCATCATGAAAATAAAGTATCATTATCTAACAAAATTCAGTTTATTTGGAGTTGAATGTTTTAATCCAGTTTCATACTTGATAATTAAAGATTTAACAGCTTGCTTCTTTATATGTGTGTATGTATATTTTTCAGAAAAGTTGAACTCAAAATTTTAAACAGTACACTTTTGGCTTTCCTATAATATGAATTTTAAGTTATGAATACAGTTTATGAGTTTGAATCTATCTTCAGCACGACAAGATTAGCCCATTGTACCACACAAATGTTACATGTTAAGAGGTACTCTCTTAGGGGAGTGAAAGCTATTAGAGGACAAATCTCCTGATTGTTGTGACCAGTCACAGTCAGCCCTGACTTGTTTTGGACTAGCAGTAATACTGCCTAAGAGAAATAAAGAAATGGAACCAGCCACCAAACCTGATTCAACTTACACACAACTTCTTTTGTTTAAAATATGAAGAATAACCTGGAAGGCCAACAAAACAATATGCTAAGGCTGGGAACATTTAATACAGAAATCTACATCAATGTCCGCAAAGAAAAGTGACCCCAGTCTTTAAGGGACATAGTAGATGAAGAACCAAATCAATAATGAAATGATAAATCTGAAGCAGAACTATAGACAGGACATGTGCACACTTACAAACATACACACAGACTGCCTCGAGGGAGCACATTGTAAGTATCTGCCAGCTATCACATCTTTAAGGATCTGTAAGATGGTAGCTTGACGTGGCCTGGCTTCAAGTATTTACCATCCTATTACAGCTGGCCCAGGAAAACAGCCAGATATGTTCTTAGGTCAGCTCTGTTCCTGGCCAAGTGGGGAAGGTGGTGGTGGATCAGGCTCCTGTGTCAGCTGCAGGTGCTGAGCTGGATCCGAAGCACTTGCTGCTAAACGGAGCTCCTCTGTTTGCTCTTGGTGGGCATGGAGATGTTCCAGGGTTTCCTTCGACAGTGTGATTACATGCACAGGCTCTGCCTGTACAGATTCCATCTGACTTTCAATCATATTGAGGCTTTGAATGTGCTCTGTTTGCTCCTGTTGAGCTGACAGAATCAAGTTCTGCAGTTGCTCCGGCTGCTGCGTGAGCAGGGTGAGGTTTGCAGCTGGGTCTGTGGCCATGTTGTGGGCACTCTCAGCAGCTACAATGCTGATTCCCTGGGTGGGACCTGGCATGAAGTTGATGTTATGCACAGAATCTGCCACGAGAAGCTGAATCTCCTGCTCTCCAGAGGTAGAAAGCTGGTATGGTTGTATCTGAAGAATGTTCCTGACTTCATCAGCGTTGCTACCAGAAACACTGCTAGCATCTGATGTGTGTTTCTCTTTGCTATGGATTTTCAAGTGAGCCTTCAAATTGTCTAAGCGAGAAAACTGTAAGCTGCACTCAGAGCAGGAGAAAGGTTTTTTGCCTGTGTGTAGGATGCAGTGTCTCCTCTTGGCACTGGAGTCAGAGAAGGATTTGCCACAGATGCTGCAAGAGTATGGCTTTTCTCCACTACAAGAAAACACACCTTTTATTTTAGAAACAAGAGTTTTTCACTTCCTGGTTATTTAGGGAGAAGCAATTAAGAATAAAGGAATGCTGAAGCCTGAACCCATGTCTTGATTGCTTACTGTCCTCTTCCCAAGCACCTCTCTCTCTTTTCCTGCCCTTGTACCTATGTTAAAACCTTAAAACGCAGGCACGCAGGCACGCAAGCACGCACACACACACACACACACACACACACACACACACACACAGACAGACACACACACAATATCTCTAACTCTGCTTCAAACTGGGGGAAAAAAAATAAAAGAAAAAAGATACAGGAACACTGACTAGGCTGATTCACAAGACATGGGTTCTCCAACCAACTTAAGAACTTGGAACAGGTCACTGTTCGTGTTTCAGTTTCTAATCTCAAAAATTTTTAAAAAGGGTTAAAAATAAATAAAATAAAAAAGGGTGGGTACTGTGATTAAGGAAGGGTGGCAGATGGAACGGGGCTACATGTGATGAAATTTTATGATTCTGTAGTATGTATTTCAGATAAGAAAGTAAATACACTGTGTTTATATATTACACAAACAGATTTTTGTTTTTAGTTCTTATAAGCTAATTTTTAGACTCAAAAGGCCCAGTAAGTATATATTATGATTATTATTAATATGAAACATTTAGCAGGTCCTAATTATTTGTGAAGCTGTTAGAAATACACCTAAATCCAACCTGAGATTAATTTTTATGAACAAAACATTTGTTCAGAAAATACTCTTTGTGGGGGGGAAAACAAAATTTTCCATTGTACCCCAGTTTGTTCTCAAATTCTTGATCCTCCTGCCTCTGCCTACCAAGTGCTGGGCTTGTAGGCAAGGACCACCATGTTCAGCTCTAGAAAATACTAAGTTTTTCTTTCTTTTTCTGAGATAGAGTATCACTCTATTGCCTAGGTAAGCCTTGAACTTGTGGGTCATCCACCTGCTCTCACCTACTAAGTGCTAAGATCACATGTGTGAACCAACACAACTAATACTTAATTGAGTATGTGTGTATGCTCACCCATGTGTGTGTGCAGAGGCCAGAGGCTGACATTAAGTTTCTTCCTCTATTGTTTTCCACCTTATTTTTTGAGATAGACTCTATCATTGAACTTGGAACTTGCATTGTGACTAGACTGATGGGCCAGAAAGCCCCTGGGGTCCACTTGTCTCCACCTCCTCCCTCTGCCTGGATTATGGACATGCACCACCACGTCTGGCTGAAGATGTGAACAAGTTTACTTACTGAGTCACCTCCCCAAGTCTTAATGTTTATTTTTGATTGAAGATTTAAGCTTTGGATTAGATCCCCCCCTCCACCAAAAAAAATTATATAATGAAATCAACAATGTAAGGTTATGGCCAGAATCAAAGTTGCTAATTTTGCCTAAGTGAGAAATTTCATTACTGAAAAAATAAAATAATAAACTAAACAGAAAATTCTACCAGAGTGACAATTTGAGGGAAAGGATTATATGGGTAATATATATCACCCTACTGAACACCAGAGTTCAAGGAGGTCTCCAAATGTGAAAAATAACTATAGAGTTTTATCAAAGAAGCCAGGTGAGGTGGCACGCATCTATAATCCCAGTACTCAAGAGGAAGAAAAAAGAAGAGCCCACATTTGAGGCCAGCATGGGCTAGATAGCTATTTCCTGTCTCAAAACAATAACAAAAACCAAACCCAACCAAAACAAGCTTACCGATGAATTCTGATGTGGGTCTGAAGAGAACTCTTTGCTGTGAAAGATTTCCCACAGATTTCACAAGTAAATGGCTTTTCACCTAAAAAGAAGCAAGCATTTATTGATGCAAATCTGACATTAAAAAAGAATAACCAAAAGAACCCAAATCACTTTAGTTTCACATTATGAAAGAACAACAGGAAGTCCTATGGTAGGACTCCCGAGAACAAACAAAAAGAAACGCAGCATGGTCTGTGCCTGAGGCACATACATGGTTCTGCCTGTCATGACCTTGTACAGAGTACCTGGTCAAGGTGTATCCATTGCCATATATGGGGACAAACTGAACTCTAAAGGGAAACTAACATAGGCTGGGTCTTTCCTTGTTCTGCATTTGAGTACTATTTCAGAGTCAGGAGTTAGTGTGAATAAACTGCTTCCTAGAAAAGAAAGAAAATGCACTTGGAACACTCCTTCAGTGTGAGTGAATTAAATTCAAACAAGCAGTGCCTCTTGGTGTGCAGAAAGGATGCAGAGAAGGAGGGATGTGCTTTGTCTTGAAAGCTGAACCTAGACTGTATGTAAGTAACAAAGGAACTCACGTTTACTCCTGAATTTCCATCCTTGGGTCTAATACTGATTGTTGCATGCCTGCCAAATTTCTGAGTTAGGTGGCCCACTGGACCGTCAAAAGGACTCCTGTGTACTACAATGATTTGGTTACTCTTCACATTTACATTCCAAAATACCCATAATCTGACTACTTATTTCTCTTCCTCTTGGATCACAGCAGCAGCCTCCAAAGGGTCTCTTGCTTCCCGGCCATCCGCTGTCAACTGGGCCTATTCTAAACATCCTGACAGAACATTTCGCTCTGTGGGGGCGAATGCTCTGGTGTTCTACATCCAAAGCCCTTATATATAACAATTATAGATCCACCCCCAACCCCACATCCCTCTGCTATACCAAAAATCCCAGCTAAATGAATTAATTTTTGAGGGGTGATCTAAGGCTCAAACAATGTGTGACTGCTCAGCTTCTTTAATATCAAATGTTTATTCAGTGTCAGTCTGCACAGTGCACATACAATGACATCTGAGTTTGGCCCTGGGTCCCTTTCTTCACTGCCAATCTAATAGTCAAAAAAAACAAAAACAAAACAACAACAACAAAAAAAAAAACAAACTCATAGGGCTGGAGAGATGGGCTAGCAGTTAAGAGCACTGGCTGTTCTTGCTGAAGACCTGGGTTCAAATCCCAGCACCCACATGATGACAGTTAACAATCGTCTGTAACTCCAGTTTCAGGGGATGCAACGCCTCCTCTGTGGGTCTTGCACAACACAGGTGCACTTACATATATGCAGGTAATACACACATACACATAAAATAAAAATAAAATAATAAAATATTTTGAAAAATATTCATATTTCTGACTGGTGAGATGGCTCAAGTGGGTAAAGGCACATGCCACAATGATTGTTCACCTGAGTTTGATCTCCAGGACCAGCATGATTGAAGGAAAGAACTAACTCTCTGTCTTTTGATCCCCACACATATGCCATGGCAAATGCACCCCCTCGATAAAAAAATAAATGTACCAGAAAATGCACATTTCCATTTTCTTTGATCACAGCTGCCTACTTGCCCTATGTTGCCTTTGTGAAGTGCCTCTCACAATTCCTGCCCAGTTTTCTACTAGTCTACTCACTTTCAAAAATTTGGAATAAGGAGCTGGAGAGAAGGCTCAGCAGTTAAGAGCACTGGCTGCTCTTGCAGAGGACCTGGGTTCGATTCCCAACACCCACATGGTGGCTAACAACCTTCCCTAACTCCATTTCCAGGGGGAATACAACATCTTCTGACTTCCACAGGCATTGCTTGACACAGGTGCACTTACACACATGCAGGCAGTACTCATACACATAAAACAAATTTTAAAAAATATGGAATAAATATGAATACTTTGTCATGTATGCAATGACTTTTTGCCAGACCAATGAGCTCTTAAACACATTTCTTCACTCTGTTCTCTTGACCTGAAGGCCTTCCTCTCTCTTGCCTAAAGGGCCTACTAACCAGCTCATCCTCAGGTCCTTCCTTCTCTGCCTATCCTACTTCTTAGGCTTCCAAGTCCTTTTCAAAGACACAAATCAAAATATTCCCTCTACCTGCTTAGGCCCCTGCCTATTTTCACAGTGGTCTTACCTACTGTTTGGTGGTCCCCTCCCACCTGGTCACTGCAGAACAACTCAGTGTACCCTTTGAACTCCCGCCCCCCCCATGCTACTTTTGTAACCCAGCACTTGCTCTGCCTTCCTGATCCAGGTCCCCATTCTGGAGAACATGGCACATCCTTTCTGTGGCTCCATCACATTGTGCTGAGATTCTTCATGGATGCATACAGACTCTGCAAGGACATGCTGTGCTGAGGAGCCTCAGACTCAGAAATAGAGGAACAAGGAGGATGGGATCAGCTCAACAAATAGGTGTGGAAACTTCCAGAAATTTCGAATCCATTCCATGGAAATTAGATTTTAAATAAAACTATGACTCCATGAACTTTATCATGTGACTAGGTAGACCATCCACATGCAAGTGGATGCTCAGAGGTAGAATCTGTGTTTATCTAACTCCATCTAAGGTGCAGGGATGCTGGGGGGATGGGAATGTACTGTAGGTCAGAGGTGACTGTTTCATGGTAGGGCATGACTAATTCCCTTGACTTACTCTTAGCACACTAAGCAATGTTCTGATTCTTAATTTGTTTTCTGGGAACAGTGGTGTCAAGAAAGACATACTAAGGGAAACAGAAAAATGGAGTCCTAGGCAGTGATGTATACCTATAATGTCAGAACTCAGGAGGCTGAGACAGGAGGATTATGAGTTCGTAAGTCAGGTTACATAGCATGACTCTGTTTCAAAAGAACAAAAACCAGGGACTACAGAGATGACTCAGCAATTAAGAGCACTGGCAGCTCTTGCAGAGGACCTGTGTTCAATTCCCAGCACTGACATGGTGGCTAACAATCATCCTTAACTCCAGTTTCAAGTAAATTGGATGCCCCTTTGACCTCTGTGGTCATTGCACGACACAGGTGCATTTATATACATGCCGGCAACACACACACACACACACACACACACACACAATAAATATATTTTTTAAACTTTTTATTGATTTTATATGTATGAATGTTATGTCTGCATGTGAGTTTGACTCTATCCCCATGAGCCCAACTTCCTCCAGGTACAGGGAAAAGATCTGAGCAGGCTTCCTTTTCTCAGCCTGACCATGGCGGCACTGCCTGTCCACTAGACATGCTCCCTCCACTTCCTGCTCTTAGGGTACTCTCTTCAGGAACAGTATCTGATTTGCCTTTGGTCTTTGTGGTACTTGGTTTGTGGCCTCTCACCCACAGAATCTGCCTCTGAAGATCTAGGAGATAAACAGTGTCAGCTGTTGGCCAACGCCATGCTTCACATCCTGGTTCAGGGTAGGGAATGGGTTGCCAAGGCCTTTCAACATTATTAAATAACTTCTCTTTGCTAAGTGCTAAGAACAGATGGGTCATGCAAAGTTCCTGCTCTTGAAGAACCTCAATGTTTTGAGGGGTTTTGGTATCTTTAAAAAACATTTTAAGTCATATGACCACTTACAGAGCTCAATGTCTGCTTTTTAATTTTTAAAAAAACCTACTACATATTCTGCACTTTTTGAGGCCTATGTTATAATAAGACAGAGACTGTCTCCTTTCTACTCATACTTCAAGGACTGTTTGTTCATAAAGACCAGAAAGTCTGCCAGGTGCAGTGGCTCACATATATAATCTCAACACGCAGGAGACTGAGGCAAGAGAACTGTTGTTTTTAAAAAATTTTATTTATTATTATTTTTATTTTTTGGTCTTTTGAGACAGGGTCTCTTTGTAGCCCCAGTTGGCCTGAACTCAGTACGTAGACCAGGCTGGCTTCGAGGTCACAGAGATCCACCTGCCTCTGCCTCCCAAGTGCTGGGATTACAGGCGTGAGCTGCCATGCTTGGCTTATTATTTTTACGTGTATGAGTATACTGCCTGCATATAAGTGCACCGGTGTTGCACAATGCCAGAGAAGATCAGAAGAGGGCATGGATCCCCTGGAACTGGAGTTAAGGAAGGTTGTTAGCCACCATATGGGTGCTGGGAACCAAACCTGGGTCCTCTGCAAGAACAGCCAATGCTGTTAACCGCTGAGCATCTCCCCAGCTCCGAGAACTGCTGCTGAGTTTGAGGCCAGCCTAGGCTACAAAAGAAGGTGATGTGTCTCCCCTCTGGTGCTGCTCAACACACCTGCACATCTTAACCCTGTACCATCCATCCAGTCTCCCTGGGACTTAGGTCCACTGCAGTTCTATTCATTATTTAAAGGCATGTGTGAAGACATACATTCATAGCTGGGCCTGTATCTCTCCCTGATCTCCAGGCTCAGGTATCCGATTACCTACTCCATACCTGCATCAGGATGTCAAACTGACGTATCTCAGATCTGGCATGACCAAAGCTAACTCTTGGGTTTGCTCCTTCCAGCTGCTTTCCCTCCTTTTCTTCCTTTCATTCCCTACCCCACATCTAATTATCAGCAAGGTATGCTGACTCTTCCTCAGAATCTGTTCAAAATTAGCTCAGCTGCTGTGACTTCCACTGCCATGGTATTATACAAAGGCCTGGATCACTGCAACATCCTAACAGGTCTCTCTGCTTCCAACCTTGTTCTACCACCTTACCTTACATGGCGGCTGAAGAGTTGGCTCAGAGGTTAAGAACACTGGCTGCTCTTGCAGGGGACTTGGGTTTGAGTCCCAGAACCCACATGGTGGCTTACAATCCTCTGGAACTCCAGTTCCAGGGAATGCCCTCCTCTGACCTCCTTGGGCACTGCATGACATGGGTGCACTTACATACATGCAGGCAAGACACACACACACACACACACACACACATAAAATAATATAAACAACAAAAATTCAGACATATCATGTCACTCCTCTTGGCAAAGCCATTTAAAGTGGCCTCCAATTAAACCTGTGTGCTTGAAGGAATCAGAAAGAGAACTTCCTAAGCTCTGCCCCAGGACAACTAAGTCACAATCTCATGACTGAAAACAGGTTTTTTTTTTTCCTTTTTTAAAAGCTTCTTACATGTTTGAGATGTACAGCTGAACTGATAACTCCTGGCCTCCAGTCGTCCCCGACAGCCACCTCTACTGCTTCTTTGCTTCCTTCTTCTCCAATCCAACCCTCACACCCCCAGGCTCTGGGCACTTCTCTAGCATGTGAGAAGCTGTCTGAGGCGTTCTCCCTGCTGTCTCCATCTAGGCTATTCCCCCTGCATATCTTCAATGGCTGGTTCGCTCCCCACCATGTTCTGATCTCCACTCTGGAGGCCTTCATAGGACAATCCCTCATAGAGAGTAGTACCCCTTTCAGAACCTATTTTTCTACTCCACATTTTATTTCCTCTTGGCAGTTGTTCTGTGGAACATGTTACCTACTTGTTGCTTGCTGTCTCCCTGTCCAAGTACTGATGCCCCACCTGCTGGTGGGTCTTGTCCATCTCCTTCATTACCTGTCCTCCAGGCTTAAAATAGTATCTGGCACTCAGCAATGGCTCCATTACAATTCACAGACCCTACTAATGATAATGTCCATAGGACTGTAGAAGGGCCAACAAGATGGCTCAGCAGGTAAAGATGCCTATTGTCAAACTTGATGATATGACTGATTCCTACCCACATGATGAAAGAATAAAACTTACCCCAGAAGTTGTCCTTTAACCTCCACATGTATGTTGTGGAGTTTATTTATGTATATGGGTATTTTTCCTACATGTATGCAAATGCTCCCATGTCATGCAATGCCCATGGAGATCAGAAGAGGGCAGTGGATCCCCGGAGACTGGAGTAAGGGACAACTGTAAGCCACCATGTGGATGTTGGGAACCAAACCTGCCGCCTCTACAGGAGCAGCCGGCTCTTAACCACTGAGCCATCTCTCCAGCCCCTTAGGATCATTTTCTTAAAATTCATATCCTATAAGATAATTTCCTAATTTTAAGAAAAACTACTTGAGACCAGAAATATTACATGCTTTTTTTCATATTTTGGAATATTTGCATATATATGAGATATTTAGGGTATGGGATCAAGTCTACATACAGAATTAATTACATTTTGCATAAACCTCCAACACCTGGCCTGATGGTAATTTTATACAATATTTCTAGTGCACCTGCATTTCTGGACAGATAAGGCATTTTCTACTGTGGTGCCACACCAGCACTCAAAATGTTTGAGCTTTTAGAACATTTTGGATTCTGGCTACTTCTGGTCCCAAACACCAGGACTTAATGTATACCAATTTTCCTTAAAGTTAGGAAATGATCAACTTGCATTAAAAAAAAAAGTCTAAAGCACCCACTTTAATATTTTAGTAGACAACTTGACATAATCATTAAATAATCCCCCTCAATGGAAAGCTTTTCCTGGAAAAATCTAACAGGCTTATTTTTAATCAATGTCTCTTTCCAAAACGTGCAAGAGGGTCACAGTTTTACTTTTATGAACACACTATCTGTCCTGCTGCAATCAACATTGTCTCCTTTTCATTCCTGCCTCTCTGGGAGGTAGTGACACTGAGGGACATAAGTGTCGGTTCTAGGTGAGGAATTCTCCGTGTGTCTCTTTCATCTTGCTTCCTTTTCTTATAAATCACCTTCATCGTCTTAAATGCTAAAGAAAACTGAGAGTGAAACACAGAACCAGACTGAGACTGATACTGTTCTGTGGAATATGAATTGCCACGGCGTTCAATGAGTGGGTTCCATTTTGCTTAGCTACAGAGGGATGTGAGGCCCTCACAGAACACTGCTAACATTTTGCCTTGGGCTTTCAAACGATCTGCTTATGAAACATTCACCAAATTTGCAATCAACATTCCAAACACAGGCTGAGGACTCTCAACTTCACTCCTCACTGCTGAAAGCACCAAGTATAGCAGGGAGGAAGATGAGATGACGTGTTACCTGTGTGTGTTCGCAGATGTTTCTTTAGCTGAGACACATCCATGAATTTGCGATGACAATGGGTGCATTCCGGTAACGAGTGGCCTTGTCGCAACAATAAAAAAAGTGTCAGTGCATGTATGTTCTCCCTGCATTTCTTCAGTGATCTGTGTTAAAGCACTTCCCTGAAAAATAATCACTTTAAATATGGCACTTTAACAACAACAATAAACTTTATTACCCTGTGTACCTCAACTCAGTGGTTCTCTGAGAGCAGGGGCTTTCTTAATCCTCCTAAATGCCCTTCCCTCCACACACACGTATGACTGGCCAGCTGAGCTTGAATGCTGTCTCTCCCCAACCTCCTCCTTTCTTAGCAGGAAGGAGAACAGAGCATTTAGCAGAACAGGAGCCAGGAGTGATGATGCCTCTGTCTAGGCACTACTAATGGGCCAATCAACTGAAGACCTCTTTGGCCAAACAGCACTTTTGAATACACCAATTCTGTGGTGGTTCTATTTATGGTTCCAAACTTATGATGCAAAAATTAAACTGAAATCCTAAGGTAGTAGAGAATAACAACTGAGTTTTAATTTTTATTTTATGTTTTGAGATATAGTCTGAAGTATCTTAGGCTAGCCTTAAACTCACAATGTAGTTGAGGATGATTTTGAACTTTTGGTCCTCTTGTCTCCACCTCTCAAGTGCTGGGTTACAGGAGCATGCCACCGCATCAGGTTTTACATGGTGTTAGGGACTGAACCCAGGGCTTCATTGGTGCTAAGCAAACTCTCTACCAACTAAGCTGTATCCCTAATCCCATGTTTATTTTTACTTCTATTTACTATTTTTATGTGTTTGAGTTACTGCCTACATGTAGGTAGGTGCACCCATGTTGTGCAGTGCCCTCAGAGGACAGAGGAGGGTGTTAGATTACTTCCTGGAACTGGAGTTACGAACAGTTGTTAGCTGCCATGCGAATACTGGGAATAGAACCTGGGTCCTCTGCAAGAGCAGCCAGTGCTCTTAAACAGCTATCTCTCCATCCCTGACTCTTTTTTAAGACTCTTTTTTCTAAATACCCACTGGCAGGCTACAAAACGAACCTGTTTCAGAAACATTTTGTATTTGCATTTCTTCCTCAGCAATCCAAATTTTCTCCCACCTTATTGGTATCGTACCTGTATGGACTCGATAATGACTCTTCAGCTGTCTTTTCTGGCTGAAATATTTTCCACACTGATCACAGGTAAAAGATTTCTGCCCTGCCAAATAAAAAAAAAAAATAAAGCTTAAGCTATGCCAAAAACTGTAGAGCATTCGAAAGCTCACTTAAGTAACAGTGGCCCAGGTACCCGTTTTCTACAAGTGGTATGAGCAGCTTGTCTACACACCCAAAAGCCTTTAGAGTAAATATGTGAGGCAGTAGAGGGCAGGGGCGACTGGGGTGGAACTGGAGATTTCAGGTGCCCCCAAATGCATATAAAGAGAATTCTAAACCCTAGTGATTAAGCAAAATACGTTTGCACACTGCACTTAACAGTAGCCAGTTAATAAGCTCTAACCGAAGGCTTGTTACTGTGAAAACCTATGAATCATATGCTGACAGATGCCTCATCCAGTCTTTCAATGACACAGTGTGGGAAATGATACCAGACTGAGAAAACAGCATTTAAATCCTAGAAATGTCTACCCCAGGGAATGGGAGCCTAATGGCTGGGGACCCTCCGGTGCATGCCCCGGTACCTGAGTGTAGGCTCATGTGTTCCAGCAGTGAGTGCTTGGTGGTGAGAGCCTTGCTGCAGACCGTGCAGGTATACGGCCGCTCGCCTGTGTGCATCCTGGTGTGGACCTGCAAGGAGTGCTTCTGGGCAAAGCCTTTTCCACACTCACTACATTTGAAGGGTCGCTCCCCTGCAATCAGAGCCCGAGAGGCATGGTGTAAACAAGATCTGCATATTTTTCTGTTCCACCTAAATTAAAATATACAGTATTAAATCATTCGTAAATGTTAAATATTTAGGAATTTCTTCTAAAGGGCAAATATCAAAAGCTCAGTGAATAAGAGTGATATCAGCAATAAAAGTCTGAATACTAGAATAGAAATCAAAGCCAATAAGGAGGTGCAATGAGACACAACCTAATCTTTAAGATCTAGCCTCTGGAAGTTCAGGAACTGACAACACCCGGGATCTCTGAAAATAGGGATGAGAAAGGATAAAGGGCAACTTAAAAGGTAGGTAGATGTTTATATCCATTTTTTCATTCTACAAAACAAGAAGACAGACGCCCTCCACCTTCTGCCCCAACAGAAAATTTAGATGTTGTTCTCAGAAGGTGAAAGGATCTCTGGATTGGGGGCTGCCTGGCACCGCTGAGTGGGACCACCCCAGGAGGGAAAAGTTTCATTGGGGATGATGGGAAGCTATCTTTCTTGGCTATGGTAGTCAGGCCTAGTGCCTCCAAGCAGGAGAGTAGGAGCATATTTTCTGGAAGGTGACATGTAGGAGGTAAGACCCACAGATGCCAGAGCAGGTATCAATAAGGAGGAAGTGGGGTCCAGCCACACCCCTCCAGTGAGGCCACTGCTTTACAGGCTGTTCTCTGTACCCACAGACCAGCCAGTAATTTTAGTGTCCTAATTTTGCATATGATTAAATGTGTTAAAAAAAAAAAAAACCTCTAGTATTCAAGGAAAGCCTCTGATCATAAAGAGAGATATGACAGACAAGGAAAAATAAAGTGCTCAGGGTGGAAAAAAAGCATTAAAACACCTGGCATGGTGCTGTATGCCTGTAACTGGGAGGCTAAGACAGGAGGACCATGATTTCAGTGCAAGCCTGGGCTATAAAATGACATCCTGCTTCAAATAAAAAATAAGAAGGGCTGGGGATTTAGACCAGAGATAAAGCACTTGTCCAAGGAAGGACAATGTCCTAGGTTGGCTTCCTAGAACTCAAACAAAATTTTCAGAGAACAAAACAAGCTCCTAAAAATAAATAAAAGACAAGAGCAGAAATAGCAAACTTAAGGGCCGAAAGGAACAGTGGAAATCTCCCAGAAAGTGAGAGTAAACGATGGAAAACATGGGCGAGAAGATAAGTTAGAAACTGGCTCCACAAAGTTCACTATTCGACATCAGTTCAGTAAAGGAAGAAATCGGGAGAGGGGATCACGTATACAGTAATTCAAGTATGTTTTCTGGAGCTGAATGATGGTCTTCAGATCCACCTGGTGTATGCCAAATGAAAACAGACCCACACTAAAGTGACCGCAACATTTCAGACACCTGGGGATAAAGCTGTTTTTCCTTAAGTTTTACTCAATGACCTGATGCTCTAAATTATGCATGTAACTTTGATAAAAATAATGAAAACAGAATCTAGTATTAGATTCTATTAGTTACAGAATCCATCAGAAAGAAAATAGAACCTATCACAGTTCAACAAATTTTTCTCAAGAATCTTGTTTGGGGAGGCTGGAAAGACAGCTCAGTGGTTAGGAGCATTTGTTCCTCTTCCAGAGGACCTGAGTTCAATTTCCAGCAACCATTGTTGACTCAACAATGGCCTGTAACTCCAGCTCGTGAGCGATCTGACACCTCTGATCTCCACAGGCATCTGCACTCACATGCACAGAGACACACACTTATACACATAATTTTTGTTAAAAAAATGTTTTGTTCCAAGTACTATAATTCAGGTTTTCAACACATATCATCTCTGGGAAACTTCTTTTTTTTCCTGAGACAAAGTCTCATGTATCACAGGCTTGCCTGGCATCCAAGGATGACCTAGAACTTCTGACCCTCCTGCCTCTACTTGTGGAGTGCTACCTTGCCCAGTTTGAGGTGCTGGGTGGGGAGTGAAACCAAGGCTTTGTACATATTAGGCAAGCACTCTTATCAACTGACCTACACCTGTGAGAAACCAAACACGGATATTCCAGACAATTAAATGAAAAACCTGAAAACAGGACACAGGTAGTTTTAGAAGCTCTCCAGATGATTCTATTGCACAGGTTGAGAACTACAGCAGCCTATGCTGCTGGGCCACATGACAGCAAGAGGCTGGATGATGGAGAACTTCAACAACAGCCCCTATACTTAAGCTTACCAGTGGTGACTACAACCTAACCTGAAACAGGGTGAGTTAAACGGCCTGAGCGAGAACGCAAGGGATTTCTGGTAGTGGTGCATTGTCCAAAATGGCAGCCATCAGGCACATGTGGTTCTTCAAGCTTACATTCACTGAAATAAAATTAAAACTGTTTCAGTCTAGCTAGCTACAATTCAAGTGCCCAAAATTTCCATGTTAGGCTGGGACTACAGCTCATCGTAGAGTGCTTGGTTAGCATGCCCCAGCCACTGGGTTCCATCATCTGATCAGTGGCTACCATACTGGATGGAGACGACATAAGGTACTTCTCTCACAAAACATTTGCAAGATGGCTGAACTATACAACTGTCTACATAGAAGAGGAGACTGTTGTGCTAAGATGAGGAATGCTCACAAATCAAAGGACAGAATAAACTGGGTTGATGCTTTATTACTTGGTAAGATGAAAACCTCAGGCCAACAAGATAAAAAAAAAAAAGGGGGCTCCAGAATCAGGCCAGCTGAGCGCAGATCTCAGCTCTGTCATGAAATTGGTGAGCCTATGCAAGAACATCTCTTCATCTGATAACGGGGGTATTACCGGCTGTGGGATTACGCTGAGACCTGAATACAGTAACACATAAAAAGTCTTTATTATAATGCCTGGCATGTAGAAATTGCACAGTAAATAAATACTATCATTATCAATATTGCAAATTCCCAAATGCACTGAATGAAGTTTTGAAAGTGTAATTACCAGTGTGGCTCCTCTGGTGGATTGCTAAAAAGTGGTTATACTTAAAGACTTTGCCACAGTCTTTACACTGAGCCTCAGGACCACTGGGGCGCTTTCTCTTTCCACACATCCTCTTAGTTGAACCCTGGTCATCTTCATCTCCAACAAGTTTGTAATCCTGAAGTTTGACGGACCTCCGAATCCTGCGCTTACTGTATCTACTCTGGTTATCCTGTCCCTCTTGGGTCTTGGGGTCACAGTTTTCATCTTTCTCAGCCGGCATCCCCTCCACTCTTCCTGGCTCACAAACTGGCTCAGATTCCTTTTCTTTTGCTGACATCTGTTCATTCAATTCAACATCATCTCCTTTAACCACAAAGTTTTGTCTATTCTGAACTGAATTGTTCTCTCGTAGCTGTAATTCTTCTTCTACAGCCAGTTCTGACTTTCCCTCCTGCAAACTACTGGTTTTTCTTGGTCTTCCCCGTTTCCGTTTTAGAGGATCATTTTTCTTATTAGAAATAACCACCACTGGAGTGCCAGCACTGTTCAAAGTAGGTGGCTTTGGGGAGCTATGGTTATTCTGGAAGTCTGTGTACGCCTTCACAAGGTCATAGACTTTTAAGAACTGAGCAGTGGCCAAGATTTGTTCTTTAGTTTTCTCACTGGCATGCAGATAACCAGTATAAATAAATTCCAGCAGTATACCAAAGGTGTCTGCAACCATGCCTTCCAGCATATAAATGGATTGGCCAATCTCCCCCTCTTCTGCAAACATCATTGAGAAATATTCACTACTGGCAGCAAGTAAGGCTTTGTGGGCCCGGAAATGCACATTCTCCACGATTAAAGTAATGTCACAAAGAAAGCCTTTCTTCCTCTGATCCTCAAAACTGGCTAGGACAGTGTCACTGTGAGAGTCTGAGTGTATGATAAGCGTTCCAGAAGGCTCATGTGCTGTCTCTGCCATATTCTACAGAGGCCAAAGAGGCTTAAATCTGAAATAAGAAAACAATGTTTAATAAGGAGGACGTTTTGTTTAACAAGGTTAATCCCAGCCCAGGTGAATTTGTGATTCACTTCTTGGGAAACAAATTTCTCCCACGGCCACCTTTTAAAGTCTATTTAGAAACTTGGCCTTAGGTTCTCTTTCCTGTTGCATGCCCAGCTGGGTGAATGTCCCATAGCCATGTACCTTCTCACCATCTGTTTTCTCCTCCGGAAATCACGGAATGGGATCAAACACCTGTACAGCCCTCCCCTGTATTAACTTTTTTATTTCGAAAAATTATCATTTAAAAGCGTGGCCGCACACTGTCAGCGTTAGAACTGCACCACCTCCATCTGACACAGTATTAGCTACGTTGTCTGGGAACAGACATGAAAACGACGAAGAAAATATACACATGTTAAGGGGACCTGGGGCGACAGCAATGAAACAACCGAGGCGTCAGGAGGCCCGGCGTTGAGAGGGGCAGAGCCAAGAACCGTGAAGGTGTCGAGTGGTGGAGCCCCGAGCTCCGTCCCCGGGTCCAGAGCAGCCGAGCGCTCAGCAGCGCGCAGGAGCCTCCACGTCCGGGCCAGGGTCCCGCGGGCTGCCAGGGCACAAGGCCGCGGGTCCCAAGCTAACGAGCGGCGGACGCACGGAGGACCTACCTGTCAGGGGCGCCCGGCGGGTCAGGGTCGCGGCCAGTCCTACCCGGCTGCCTACACGGCGCCCGCTAGCGCGAAGGCTCGGCCTGCTGCAGCTCCACCTGACCACCGAGGCCCCTGCGCAGTGGTTTCTGGCTCGCCGCCGCAAACCCGGAAGCGCGCGCACCGAGCCGCCCGCACGGACGCCGGACCACGTGGCTCGTGTAGCCCCGCCCACTCGGGGCATGGGCGGTGCTAGGGGTGGGGCCGAGCAAGCGGCACCACCCCGAGAGCACAGGCGCCCACTGTCTTTACTGAGAAGTATGGGAAAGGAACACAGAGGTCGAGTTAAAACCTGTTGCCAGATTTGCTCAGTTTTTCTCGTATATCGTTAGCTCCTCACCGACACCTTAGTCACTTTTGTCTCAGATGCCAAATCTCGTGTCTTGAATGCGTGGTGGACGGATGAAATCACCTCTGCCTTGACCATCATCATCTAATGCTGATGCAATATTTACCTGCTAAATGTTCTTCACATCAGCTTTTCTCTCCTCACCAATTTCAATGCCTATTCCAAGGTTTCAAAGAGAGCGCTCCAATCCAGCGTGTTCTGAGAGAGCTGGGGCAAGTTACTTATCCTCGCAGCCTGTTTAATGGAGATGTTAACATTAGTGCCCACATGGTAGGGTTTGAGTGGGCTTAGTATAACTACCTGACATGACTACTGTGACTAAACGATCACTTTTTATTCAGACTTCCAGCATCTTTCTTCAAGAGACTGCTGAGAGTTTCAGTCTTAGCCGCAGTATTGCTCCATCCATGACCCAGGAGGAGTACGGAGAGCTCTCCAAATACAAATAACCTAAGGCAACTAGTCACTCTCCTGGTCAGAATCTGCTATGACTCTCACGTGCGCTCTGGATAAATTTTAACTCCTTAGTTTGGTCTCCAAGCCCCACTCTTACTTCCAGCTCCTCATTCCAGCATGTTCACTCTCTGTTTAAGCTTAACTCATACATAGTTGCTTCCACATACCCTCCCGCTTCCAGATTTCAAACTTGCCCTCTGTTCCTTCCATGATTTTGAAACTAGAGATATAATTACCAGTCAGGCCCTTAAATTTTTACTCATTTTTATTAAAGCTAGATCAAGCCACACTGCCTCTAATCTGCCTTTCCCCCTTCATCCTGAACTGCCTCTAAATCCTTTAGGTTTGTGGGGGTCCAAGTGAGAGAGGGGAGCTCTACCTAATTTCTGCACTCCAGGAGGAAGAGGGGTCAGTCCTAGGACTCCAACGACCCATTGATTTTGTTTTCTCCCAAGTATTACAGTAAAAATACTGCAGTAAATACTCTACAGACTCACAAATTAAGTGTCTAATTTGGAGAGTAAAGAAATAAACTAGGGCATCCCTGGGATGCACAGCTGCTCGCTTCCTCGTGCCAGCATCTTTCCTGGGTAAGTCCTGTGACACCCACTGCACCTTGACTCTCCCAGCCTCATTCAATCTCCCAGTTCCCCCACTCTACCTCTCCTCCTGGCCTGGATACTGGTCCATTTCTTGTCTTGGCACCTCAGACCCCTGGCTGACCTCTTGGCCTAGAGAATACATGGCTTTCTGATCTTTTGCATCCAGACCAACCCAGTTACTCCCAGTGGTCCCCAGGAGCCCTGGGTGCCTCTTCGCTCCACCACCTCTCTTTGCATTCCTGGGTGGTACTCTTGGGACCAGCATCTTTCCTGGGTCCTGCTCCCAGGACAGCCCAGCCCTCAAATTCCTGAGGTCAGCATCTTTCCTGGAGGGATCCAGACCTTAGGAGAAAGCCTGACAACATCTGATCCTCATCCAGCTTGGGGCTTTATGGGAACTCCTGAGCAGCAAGACAAAAGCAATTTGGCCACTGCAATATAAGATCAAAAGAGAGAACCTGAAGCCTAGACCAACCAGTTTTTCATGCCCAACAAGCAAACAACAAAGGTATATAAAGTTTACAAAAAGAAGCAGACCTAAATACAACAAAGGGAAGCTTGAGTCTCACACAAGAATCAGAAACTACAAAAGAAATTCACAGAGAATAAATAACATGAAAAACCAAAATAATATATCCCCACCAAGTACCAACAGTCCTGTAGAGAAGAACAGTGAGAACCCCCTAGAGATAACACAGGACATGGGATAACACAGGAAAAGTTATAGACATGATAAAAGAATTCAGTGAATTTAAAGAACACACAAAGAAAGGAATCAAAGAACTGAAAGAAGATAGGGATAAACTTCTGAATGAATTCAGAAAAGAGAAATATTGAAGAATGCTGAGGCTGAAATGAAGAAGGAAGTGAAACAGTAAGTCAAATAGAAACAACAGGAGAAAGCCTGACCAATAGGATGGATGAAATGGAAAACAGAGTATCAAGACTGGAAAGACCACTCAAGCAAAGATTATGAAAAATTTAAGAAAACACAAGAATGGAATATGCAGGAATTGTGTGACACCATAAAAAAAACAAACTTATGAATCACAGGCATACAGGAAGGAGAAGAATCTCAAGATAATGGTATGGACCAGATCATCAACAGGATTATAGAAGAAAACTTCCCCAAATTAGAGAAAGACATGACCATACAAATAAAGAAGCATATAGAACACCAAATAGACAGGACCAGAAAAGAACAGAACAAAGACAATACTGAAAGCTGCAAAAGAAAAACAACAAGTCACATGTAAAGGAAAATCCATCAGAATTGCAGCTGACTTTTCAGTGCAAACTATGAAAGCCAGAAGAGCCTAGACCAAAGTATTCCCAGATTTAAGTGACCACAGATGCCAACCCGGATTACTTTACCCAGCCAAAATGTCTATTATAGTCGAAGGGGAAAGAAAAACCTTCCATGACATAATTGTTGGGAGCTGTTTGTCTATTATGTACATTGAGCTGTGGCAGCCTTGTTTACTGAGTTTGTGTTATGCACACCAGTACCTAATCTGCCTACTCAGGAGGAATGTGTTTATATGGAGAGCCTCACAACACCTGACCTTGAGGCAATAGTGGAAAACAAAAAGATCAAAGAAGCCTTTGAAGTATCTGACCGCTCCTTGACCCTTAGATACAGGTGGGGAAAACAGCTGTGGAAACTAATTGAGTTCTGCTGTATAAGAAGGCTGAGCTAAAATAAACCGGGGCTGCAGTATTCATTGTCAGTCCTCCCAAGCATCTTTTCTGTCCCCTTTCCTTTCTTTCAATCCTCACTCCCCCTTTCAGGTACTGTCCAATCACTATATCCAACCAAAATGTCTATTATAGTTGAAGGGGAAAGAAAAATCTTCCATGACATAAATAGGCTGAAGGAATTCTTGTCCACAAAACCAGCCCTTCAGAGAGTTCTGAGAGCAATACAAAGAGCTGAAGAAAAGAATGAGCATACCCAAGAGGTTACAGAAAAAAACTTAATAAAGTATTTACTGTGAAAAAGCACAGCAACACCAAGAATGTGAACAAAAATAAAAACAACAGGAATGAGTACACACATTTCATTAATAACTTTAATGGACTGAACTCCCCACTCAAAAGATACAGACCAGTTGAATGGATTAAGAAACAAAACCCATCTTTTTGTTGTCTGCAAGAAACTCATCTCACTTTCAAGGACAGGCACTATCTGTAGGGGAAAGGATGGAAAAAAAAATACCCAGCAAATGGTACTAAGAAAAAGGCAGGCATTGCAATTCTAATATAATCAGAAGAGATAAAGAGGGCCACTTCATTCTGATCAAAGGAACAATTGAGCAAGAAGATATTATAATCATGAACATATATTCACCAAACTCTGGTACACCCAACTTCATAAAAACAGTACTACAGAATGTTAAGACCCAGATTAATACCAACTCATTAATAGCAGGGGAATTCAATACCCCCTTGTCTCCATTAGATAAGTCAACAGGACAGAGAACTGACAGAGAGACATCTGATTTAAACAATACCTTATATCAAATGGACCTAACAGACATCTACCGAGTATTCCACCCAAGCACCAAAGAATATACTTTCTATTCAGTCCCCCATGGAACTTCTCCAAAATCGACCATATACTGGGGCACAAAACAAACCTCAGCAAATACAAAAAGATTGAAATAATTTCATGTGTTCTATCAGACCACAATGCAATAATGCTTAAAATCAACACCGGAAGAAACCCTAGTAACTACATGAACACATGGAGATTAAACAACACACTCCTGAATGATGAATGGGTCAAAGGAGAAATTAAGAAATTAAGAAAGTATTCCTGGAACTAAATGAAAAGGGCAATACAACACAACAATACCTCTGGGACATGTTGAAAGCAGTCCTTAGAGGGAAGTTTATAGCTCTAAGTGCCTACATCAAAAAATCAGAAAGAACACAAATAAATGACTTAACATTGCAACTCAAGACACTTGAAAAGCAACAACAAATGAAACCCAAACCCAGCAGACAAGAAGAAATAACAAAAATCAGAGCAGAAATTAATGAAATAGAAACAAAGAAAACAATACAAAGAATCAGAGAATCCAAGAGCTGGTTCATTGAAAAGATAAACAGATTGACAGACTGTTAGCCCAGTTAACCAAAAGAAAGAAAACCTCCAAATCAACAAAATCAGAGATGAAAGGGGGGAAGCATCACAAAAGACACCCAAAAAATCCAAACCATTATAAGGGAATATTGTAAAAACCTATATGCTACTAAATTTGAAAACCTAAAAGAAATGGACACATATCTAAAGGCATGAGAACCACCAAAACTAAATCAAGAAGAGATTAACAGCTTAAACAGACCCATAACACAAAAAGAAATTGAAACAGTAATAAAAACTTCCCGACTAAAAAAAACCTAGGACCAGATGGATTTACAGCAGAATTCTATCCAACATTTAAAGAAGATCTACATGCAATACTACTTAATTTATTAAAAAAGATAGAAATAGAGGGAGAACTTCCAAATGCCTTCTATACAGCCAGCATCACTGTAATGCCAAAGCCAGGTAAAGATACAACCAAAAAAGAAAACTATAGACCCATATCCTTAATGAACATCGATGCAAAAATTCAACAAAATACTTGCAAATTACATACACACAACAAAAAGATCATCCACCATAATCAAGTCCGCTTTATTCCAGAGATGCAGGGATGGTTCAATATATGTAAGTCAATAAATGTCACTAATC